CTTAGTTCCATAGGGAAACTAAGTGCTGGGAACCAGAGGTGGGGACTCGAGTCACATGACTTGACTCGCATATTTTTTGACTTGAGACTTGCTTGACTAACATTGATAAAAGACTTGACTTTGACTTGGTATTCATGACTTGAGACTTGACTTAAGCTTCAGAAAGATGACTTGAAAGGACTTGACTGTTTAAAATAAAAATATTTGCGTTTGTTTTTGTAGTGAGATATTACGTTTAGTTTTTTAGAAAAACGTGATTATAGCGCCATGCACGCAAACCTGGCAACCCACTAGAAGGCAGGAGTCTCAGTTAACATGGCGGCGGCTAGCGTTACTCCACAAATAGTGAAGTTTGGATTCAAGGATTATTTTTTGTCGATTACGGTAATAAGAAGAGAACAGCGGTATGCAGGGTCTACAGCATAAATATCAGTGACACGACCACCACAACATCCAACTTCATTCGTCACTACAAAAACACCACAGAGAAAGGTGCGTGCATGTGTTGTGTTAGCTAGAAAGCTAACGTTAAGTTTAAGCTACGTTAGACTTGGTTTCAAATCGATTAAGCAAAGAGAAACGGTAAATGAACACTAGAATCTCCAATGGATTCATTTTGACTAACCCTGATACTGACGGGCTGTCAGGAGAGGGAGAGAGAGAGGAAAATAGATGTATGGAGTCAGATTTGGGTCAATATTCTAGCGCGTAAAACAAGCTACTCACGAGCGGGAAATGTGCTTTTACACGCGCATAAAATGACCCTCGCGCGAAGATTAAACCCCCGCGAGCGAGAGAGACAGCCCTCTTGCTCTTGCTCTTGCTCGCGGGAGTATCAGCCTCGCGGAGTCTGTCTACGCGTGCGTGAAAAGTTTCTGGCACTTTGGGGCGGAGCCACTGGACTTTGATTGACAGCTGCCAGGAAACCCGGAGTTGCCAGGTTTGATAAATGCCTGAACTACCAAGAGCCGAGGAGTGACAGCTGCAAGATCAGTTGGACGAGATTGAATGGTAAAGTTGTCCATAAAAAACTATTATATTCGTAAAGTGTACAGCTTATATATTAATTAATTAATTTTATATAAAACAATATATTTTTGAGTGGGCTGTATCTGTCGGAAATTGCATATATATATATATATAGATTAAACCCCCGCGAGCAGAGCCGCACATTTTCCGCTCGTGAGTAGCTTGTTTTACGCGCTAGAATATTGACCCAAATCTGACTCCATATAGATGCCTCGTTTATTTCCCCTGTGTTATTATCAGAAGTTACTGTAAACTTTTGAATAATGTAGTTCATTATGTTATTTTTGTTTGTAGAAGTGCATCATTCCTTGATTTATTGTAAAATGAATCTGAACTTTTTGATCTGTTATGATGATAAGCTGAAGCAATTTCAAAATTAACCAAATTAAGTGAGTTTTAAATCGTCCTACTTAGTTTATAAGGAAATTTTGAAGAGGAACAAATTAAATGATTTGAAAATGATATATATGTAGGTGCTGACGCTGTTGGCGGTTCTAGTGTTAACAGAAATTTAAATTAAATATGTGTAGGTAATGGCATTTGCCATATGATTTTCTTACCTGGAATTCTGCCTTTTTTAACAGACATTTTGATTGAGTCCTAGCTAGTGTCTGCAGTTCTAGGGTTAATATGAATCTAATATGATTGTCATCGGTCTGAATTAGATTTCAAATGATTAACTGTGTATGTAATGAAGATCATAGGGTGGGTTAAATCCATTTTCATAACCACTGTCTTTTAACTGATTTAAATGCGGAAACTGGGCTTATTCATCAGACTTTTGTATGACTTGACTTGACTTGCTTGACCTGAGCAATGACTTGACTTGACTTGCTTGACTCTCACCACAGTGACTTGGGACTTGCTTGATACTTGTAGGTCAAAACTTGAGACTTGCTCATGACTTGCACATGTAGGACTTACTCCCACCTCTGCTGGGAACTAAGTACGGCAAAGTACTTGGTGTGAACGCGGCTATTGAGAACCTTTTTACCTCCTTTTCCGTCCCTGCTAGAGAGCAGGGACTTTCGTGGGAGAAAAAGGTTCCTATGTCTGATTGGCTGGGCGGATTGCAAACCACGCCCCGTAAAACTCCAAAAAAGTTTTGTGAAGCCGCCATTTTATTATCCTTGCATTAGCATTATTAACATTAGCATTAGCCCAGCGCACAGACAGAGAGACTAACTTATGACAACACAAAAGAAAACACGGGAGCGGCGGATATGAGGAAGTGTCGGCGTTCTGGTGATTTACTCGGAAGGCTTCAGTAGAAGCTCCAGTCCCTAACTCCGGGGACTTCGGGTGGCAGTATACGCCGTGAAGTTGTTTGCGGCCTGCCAGTAAACCCAAAGCAGAAGAAGAAGAAGTGACATCAGCGGCTCATTTGCGTAATCCACCCTCAGGGACTTATTCCGGTGTGAACGCGATCTGTACTTAGTGCCCTGGGGTACTAAGTGCCGGGCACTAAGTATGGCAAAGTACTTGGTGTGAAAGTGGCTAAGGATAATAAAGATGATGGAGTTTTTAATCGCTGAGTGACTTACTCTTGAATGCAGGATACATGGGCACAGTGTTGGTGATGAGGACAGCATCATATTTCTTCTCTATGCTTGAAGACAATTCTACCAATGAAAAAGTGAAACATATTACAAACATGTATAACATACAAACAAAAAATATTGAGCCATGGTTTAAAATGTATGAATGTATATGAGAAAAATGACGGTGGCCGACAGGTGCAAACGCGCTTCAACGGCCCAAAAGAATCCGAAAATATTGCAAGTAAAAAAACTGTGATCGGTTTGTGCAGCGCTTTTTGTAAATGTTTAAGCATTTGTTCTTATGTAAGTGTTTTGGGCCGTTGTAGCTGGTTTGCCACTGTCAGCCACCATAGAAAAGATATCAAAGTAAGTCGTAATTATTTGTACATTTAATTACAAGACCTTATATTTTGCTCAATGCATTGATAGTGAATAAATGCATGGAGATAAATGCATGAGAATGTGTCTGATTAAATCAATATTCAGTTTTTTGAAAATGAATAATCTACAAATATATAGTTTTTGTTTAGTTCCTGTGATTTCAGAGTTGCAGCTGGGGGACTCACGGGGGGGGTACAGGAAGCCGTAGGTGATCTGTCTGTCTGCTCTGTAGTTGGTGCACGACTGACTGTAGGTGGGCGGGACTCTGCTGTCAGCGCGCACACAGTTAAACAGAGCTTCAGGCAGAGGGGACACTTCTACCTGCAACACACACACACACACACACACACACACACAACACACACACACACACACACACACACACACACACACACACACACACACACACACACACACACACACACACACACACACACACACACAGTTGATCAAGAGTCTCAGAACAATCGATGGTGTCAAGTTAGGAAGACATTGCTTTCACATGAATGTAACAGTATGTGATCAGTAGCAGTTACTGTGCTAGGATAAGTCATTAAAGAAAATATATTTATTAAATAAAAACAAATAAGGAGAGTGGCTCCTGTAGTATCTTAGAACATTTGAACATATTGAAATGTCAGGTTATAAAGCTGTAAAGTGTAATGAATAGATCTGTATTCTACCAAAGCAGATGGTTGTAAGTCTATTAAACATGTTAGAGCCATAAACAAAGTGAATCATGTTCAGAAGGTTAAATGGTTTGAAGGTAGTTTCCTGCACAGCATGCTGTCTCTGATGGGTTCCTCTTATTGCTGAGCCACAGTCAGGGAGAAGAGTACCTGTCTGCTGACGCTGTATGACGTCCACAGAGGCATGGACAGGGCCTCGCTGTAGCCGCTGATGTAGTCGCTGTGGTGCAGGATGGAGTATTTGGTTCTGAAGAGGACAGCAGGGCGGCCGTACGGCAGGTTCCTGCTGTCTGGGGGGGGGGGGGGGGACACACAGCAGGAGACACAGGGTGTAACACAACACTACCGTTTACAGCTGATTACTAATACCCATGACAGGGACGTGTCATAGAATGCATTGGATAGTGATGCAGGACTACATGCTGGATCATTTGCTGTATTTTACTATTTCAATAAGTAAGCACTTAAGGCACTTATATACTAACAAAGCACTTATATACTAACAAAGGACTTATATACTAACAAAGGACTTATATGCTAACAAAGCACTTATATACTAACAAAGCACTTATATACTAACAAAGCACTTATATACTAACAAAGGACTGGCTTATCTAAAGCCTGTTGAGTAGCACTTAAAATGGTTTGGCTCTATGAAACCTAATTTGGTTTTCTTCAAGTTTGTCAAATGCACTTATTGTAAATCGCTTTGGATAAAAGCGTCAGCTAAATGTAATGTAAGTTGACGTATAATTACCATTAGATTTAGTCAAGTCTACATTTAAATTGAACAGTTTCCTAGAAAAGTGTGTTGCTAGATTTCGTATTGCTGCGAGGCTCTATTTCAGAGGTGTCCAAAGTTTTTTCACTGAGGGCCACATACATACAAATATATACGAAGGGCTGGGCCACATACTAGAGATGAGGTTTATTGCCTCATAAGTTAAGTTATAAGTTAGCCAAATCAATCAAATGTAGGTCAATTATGCTTCATACTTGAATATGCTCTCAGGAAAAAAACTGTCTACATCACAGCTCTCCACTCTAATTGACTGAATTTATTTGAAAAGTGGGCTTATTAACAAATGAATACTGTTTAATATATTGGTACATATATATTTAAGAAGTACAATATAAGACAGGCACAAGTTGTATGTGTGGGCTATATTCCATTACACTTTAAGAACTTTCTGAGGGCCAATTCAAAAAGGCCGTATTTGGCCCCCGGGCCGTAGTTTGGATACCCCTGATCGATCTTCATTTACTGGTGAGGATTAGAGTTATTGAACTTGTATTATGAGCTCCTTCCTCCTCCTGTTGTAAGCACAGTTCATGTCATTAGAGTGTCTCAGTAACATCATGAGGACTGACCATCCATAGCTTGCCTCATCCTGGTGGTTTAGCTCCTCCACTTTGTTCTGTAAGACAGAGCCACCGATGCTCCAGTTATAGCCTCGTACAAGGGTCACTTTCAAACCTTCTCTGGCCCCTACTTTTTACAACGCAACTGCAAAAAGATCGGAGATTGAAACATCTCTTGCCAGAGATCTACATGGGAATCACAAACACAGCAGAGATACAGCGCCACACTGCAGAGGAGACACAGATCACTTCCTATCCAAAACATTCAGTAAGGACATTTAAAACACTGATCAAAGAGAGGAGGCTTTCATGTGAAGGATACACTTTGATTAAAAGAGAGTTCTTTTCTGTGAGTGAATGACTTGACCTGAAGGTGACTGACTTCAGCTCGGCAGCAGGAAGCAAAGATGAAAGGTTATTAAAGTGTATACAAAAGCTTAATAGCCTAATCACACCACACACACACCACACACACACCACCAACACACACACCCACACACACACACACACACACACACACACACACACACTACACACACACACACACCACACACACACACACACACACACACACACACACACACACACCACACACACACACACACACACACACACACACACACACACACACACACACACACACACACACACACACACACACACCACACACACCACACACACAATATCTATTAAATCAACATGGGTGGTAGGCCCATGCTGATGAATCTTTTTTTACAGGTCTGCTGTGTAAAAAGACAACTTTAACTTCAAAAGCAAAAAAGGAGAGTTAGTTTAAACATTGAGAAAACAAGAAGGAACAAAGACAAGCATCATTAATGAAAGGTTTGGTTGTTATGATTAGATTCCTTTTAAATGTTTGTATTGTGATAGTATTCCTTTAAGGCTGTAAGGCACAATGCATTCATTGTACACAATCTGAGTTCAAGGTGCCTCAGACACCACAGACACACTCTCATCTTATCTACATGAGGAATGTAAGAGTTTATATCCTCAATCGAAGCATTGTTTAACTTCATGAACTCAAGAACAATCTCTCCTCTACTGCTTCCCCCCGGCCCCCCCCCCGACCAGTCACTGATGTCTGAGCTGTCCAATATACCAATATACATGTTATATATTTAAGATACTAGATTGCTTTTAGTCACCAACATATTCAACAGATCACATTAACAATCAGATAAAAGAATGACCCTCATGTTTGTCAGATGAGTCCATCAGAGTCATCCAGACTGCAATATCAAAGTATTACAGAATATCAATGTTTCTAATCTAGGAACTTCAGATCTGGTACAATGAATGTGTTGTGTGTTTTCGGAAAAAAATCCAAAACTTGAATCAATAAAGTATATCTTATCTTATCTTAAAATAAAATGCATACATGAAAACCATGTTACTGATACTGCTGGAGGACAGCTGAGTAGTGTGTGTTGAGACACAGTCAGCTGTCAGAGTGTTTGACCTCTGGCCAGCATCAGTCAGGTTAGTCACACCATGTTGAACCTTGTGAGGGTCTAATGTGGCCTGTGATCACCGAGGAGGGAGAGCCTGTAGCTGCTGAGCTACAGGAACCACTGTGAGAACACGCTGACTGGCAGTTTACCAACATTTATGTCAACAGTATTTTATCATTATTATACACTGTAAGGGAATTAATGAATTACTGAATGTGTGTTGCAAGAGATATTCTGTTATCATTTTGGGCATCCAACCAAACCTTATGATAGATAAACTGCTTCGTTTAACACGGACCCAAAAAGATGCATCATCGTTATGATCACATTAAAGTATTACAGTATCATTTTGGAGATTGGTTTAGAGGCCAACTTTCCAGAAATGGATGCAAACATTCATAAATACCAAATGATCTGTGTATCAGCTCCAGTGCTCCATGCCAACAGTTTATACTCAACTGAACCTTCCTCACAACTGTCCTCACTGACTCACTGTCAATCAGAGAAAACTGTCCTTCATCAGTGTTGTATGATGTATGATGTCCTTTAATTGTTTTATGTTTCATGTGGAACCTATATGCTGCAGGTCTCCCTTGAAAAAGAGATCTATGATCTCAATGGGACCAATCTGCGATGTTCGGGGGCGGTACGATTACATGTAAAGTCAATGCAGAGACGTGGACGGACGCAAATTCGCTCCGACGGCGAGGCATGAAGTGGTGGACCGGCTGCGAATCACGCGATTGAACGGTGCCGCTTCAAACGTGAGAGTTCAATTTTTTCAACTCGAGCGTCAAATTCACGTGACGCGTTCTCGCGGAAGCCAATCAGCGGTCAGGATCTCAGCCTGCCATCACTGATGTTCAACCAGAAAACATCAGCCGTTAGCTGTTAGCAGTTAGCACACAGAGCTCACAGCTCCTCATATCTGTTCAGAAACTGGACAAAAGTTAAACAAGTACAAACCCACAGACCAGGGCCATGGGAAGTAGGGGTGCTGAGGGGTGCTGCAGCACCCCCTGGTGGAGGACAGGGGATCTGCACTTCCACAAGATTAAATACAAATATAATACAAAAGAAACCGAATTTTCAGCCTTGATGTAACAACATTTATATTAAATAAAGATAACACCCTTTTCACCCCCGGTAAACATTTTCCATTTGCCCTGTACGATGGGCGCTGTAAGTGATGAAAGTGGGGGATGTTGGCTTATCAGGCGCCCGCAGCTCACAGCCAAAGTGAGAGATAGAGAGATAGAGAGAGGGGGTGCAACCGGTACCGGTGGGGATTGTTTGTTAGCTTCTGCTGCGCTAACGGATATAAGAAGCTGTTTCTACAATAATGTGGAGGGAGAGCTCTCCTGTCAGACTGAGAGGCTCAGTGAGGTAAAGGACTCTGAGTGTTTAGATAGTTCACTTTAGTCTAAGAAGTTATCTCAGTGGGTCTCAAACGTTTTGATCACAATTGATGTAAACAAATATTTCCAAGGCACACCTTTATAATTATTAGGATAAATAAAAACAGTTTTGCTTGTTGTATACTATATATACAGTAACCAACATATTGTTTTAAAAACTGGAGAGATTAAAATATGCATAAATAAATATTAAATGGTAAAATAAGATAAATGAACCACAAAAATAAAACAAGTTAGCCTACATTTATTTGTTTATTGGCTATGGTAGGTTATTGGTTATGTTCACATACTTATTTGATTAATAAAATGCAACCGATCTTTTTCACATGGGTGTTTTAGAGTTGTACCCCCTAGAATCAGGTCTCTAGTAATTGGGTTGCTCAAAGTGCACCAGATTGAAGCATTTTACTTTAAAATGTTAAAACAATCTTCGCGGGGGGGCTCCCCCGGAGCCCCCTAGAGGATCTGAAGTCCACCCCCCAATTAAAACATGTTCATAGCAATACTAAATAACATTTGAAGCCTTTTTATATAAGCTGTCCACCATGTCAATACGTTTCTCTGTTGTATTGGCCTTTTAGAGGTTTTTCATTGCCAGCTAAAATCTTGCCTAGGGCAAGCAAATTGTCAGAAACCGGCCCTGGTGTCAATCCCCACAGCACCCCCATTTGAAAACATGTTTCCCACGGCTATGCCACAGACTGTCTGTGTCATGGCGAATACAGTCGCTGGTTTATTTATGTCTGTAGGCCGTTGTTATGAGTGTGGAGTGAGCATTTATACAAGGTTAGCTTAGCCTGGTCGACCCAATCTTCATTCAGAAAACAAGCATTTAAAAAAAGGTTTTTCGCCTGCCGTCTGTCTGCAGACTTGTCATGCATTAATTCATGGTTTTTACTAACCGGTATCAGGGGCGGTTCTAGGGGGGGCAGGGCCCCCTAAGACTTTTTTTTTTTTTAAATGTATATTTTCTGGTACTTCGGTTTGCCAAAAACCGCAGGATTTTGTTGCTGTAATGTGAGATTGTGCAGAAAACCCTTATGTAAAGTAGAGATGTAACTGTTCATTGCCTTTATTTTTATATAAATATGGTGTGAGTGCAAACATTGCACTATAACTTAAGCTGAAGCTAACAGTAATAACTATAAGATCTATCTGAAATAAATACGTACGTGTACTGAAACAAATACCAATAACTATTGCATTGTTTTTCTTATGCGCAATTACTTCATACTGTCTAGTTCTCTTTTTCGTCCTGCATTTATTGTGGCCCCCTCAGAAAAATAACTGGCCCCCCAGTGGGCCCCCCCCAGTCAAATTGGTCTAGAACCGCCACTGATCAGTATGTTGTTACTTCGGCATCATTTAGAAATGTGTTTTACAATTAATCACGGTAAAATATGTTCATTTTGTTGTAGTTGTAGCTCCCGAGACAGCGCGTCTTGTTTGAATGATGCGAGTAAACACAGCTGGCAGCCAGGGTGGAAACTCGAGCGTTTAGAGCGAAGCGAATATTCGCATCGTGTCTGGTGTGAACGCACCATTAGACTAGAGCAGGGGTCTCAAACCTCAAGGCCCGGGGGCCAAATCCGGCCCGCGACTTCATTTTATGTGTCCCGCAAGAGCTTGCAAAGAATATAATAAGTTTATTATACAGTTACAACAACCAAGGCCAGGCCACTTTACAGAAGCAGGATGCCCATAAACTACATGTCCCACAATGCATCTCGTTTTGTGACATGCACACTGAAGAGACTTGCAATTATTTGCACTGGACTTCTGCTTTCAGACAGAGTTAATTACTTAAGTTATTATCCTATCCGATAATAATCCAATGCAGAGGCAATAATGTAATATAATTAGGGCTGTCAAGTTAACGCAAAAAAATAATTAACGCCACTAATTATTTTAACGCGATTAACGCATGTGTATTTTTTTTCCTCGGCCGCCCCGTAGTTTCAGAGCGCATCGAGTTTAAAATACCATCTACAATCTGATGCTGACAGCCCCGCTCCTGCCGCCCGCTTGTGGCAGACCACACTTCCACGCTCACCGGCAGGCACACCGACTGGCTGTTGGGAGGACCGGGAGGGGGTGTGGTATGTGTGGCCCCGAGCGAGCGAGAGAGAGACCTTACGTGCATTGTTGTTGTTAGCATCTGGTGCTAGCTAGCTGCGCTAACGGATATGGAGCTGTTTAAATGAAAACAGAGGAGCGACATTTCGCCACAACCTGCAGCCGAGCACTTGACTTTATGCAGGAAGCCAGACAGTGGGACATTGTACGAAAAGTCAGCACACTCAGCACGGATAGTGCGCAACATGATTGCAGTGTCCAGGCAGCTCCCGTTCGAGCATATGCCTTGAGTTGCACATAGCTCCAATGATCCATCACACACACACACACACACACACACACACACACACACACACAACACACACACACACACACACACACACACACACACACACACACACACACACACACACACACACACACACACACACACACACATAATTTGTATTGTATTAATGAATGAGAGAGGTTCCAGGTTGAATTGAGGCGAATATTTGTAATGTTCAGAGGTTGTTGTGTTTAATATTCATGAGAATATTTGTCATTGTTCAAATGATAATAAACATTAGCATAAATCATATTTGTCCACTCATATGTTGATAAGAGTATTACAAACTTGAAAAATATTCCTCTAAGGTACATTTAGAACAGATCAAAAATGTGCGATTAATTTGGCGATTAATCGCGATTAACTATGGACCATCATGCGATTAATCGCGATTAAATATTTTAATCGACTGACAGCCCTAAATATAATACCATTATTTTATATTGATATTATATATTTATATAGTTACAACCGGCCCTTTGAGTGGCAACCTTTATATGCGAATGAAATTGAGTTTGACAACCCTGGACTAGAGCGATGCGATAGGAGCGATTAGAGCGAAGCGAATATTCACATCGCGTCCGGTGTGAACGCAGCATTAAAGCTTAGGAATCCCAACTATAACATATAATAAGTACGCCTGTATCAAGATTGAATGCAAAACAAAGTGCAATTTTACCTTTTTAGAGAGGTTTAGCAACAAAAGAAAACACCTTTGGGTCATTTGGGTGGATTGTGGATTGGCCGTTTCTCTGGAACCCATTGGTCGATTTGATGATTGACACCTCTTTTTAACCGTTAGAGCCATAGAATCGAGGGGGGAAGTTCCACATACACACACGTTACCATTGAGGGAGTGAGAGTGACACGCACACATCGAAAGCTATGTTACGCTCTAAAAACTGAAACCTAAGGCTCAAACTAGTAAATATGAAGATTGGATTATCAGTAATCAATTCAAAGTGACACAGACACATTGGATTAACCTTCAGCAGCTGTTTTTAATCGTTTTGATGCCATTGAACACAACTTTTGATCAGAACAACAGCAAGGTAAGACTATTCGCATGTTTGCTCCGTAAAGCTACGTCGTGTGAATGTTTGGGTTTGTATCCCCATGCCGCAAGTTTTGATCGCAGTGATGATACTAGGGGTGTAACGGTATCCGTATTCGTCCCGTACCGTCACGGTTTCGGACGTCACGGTTCGGCACATGCAGTCACACGACGAATACGCCTTTTTTTTACGAGTGGGAAAAAGTCCTGTCATTCAAGGCAGTATCCATTACAACTATTTACAATCCAGGGGGCGGTATTGCGCCTAAAAGCTGTTGCCAGCCGCCCTTGAAACAAACAAATGAAGAACAAGAAGAAACACAACAAAACGAACAAAATACAAGAAGAAGAAAAGTTAGTATGACGATTTCAGATAACACACAGGAGCTAGAACCACCTGCTTCTTTTAAATCAGCTGTGTGGGAACATTTCAGGTTCCCTGTGGACTACAATAACGATGGAGTGGTGGGATCGGACGAGGACGGTGTGTTGGCGTTGTTCGACAGCGGTGCGGTATGCTAATGGAACACACGCCAAACATGCTAAATCATATCAGAAGGCATCACCCAGATTTGCCAATCACCGGAGCCCGGCAAAAGACAACAGCAGTTCAAACAGCTGATCCCCGCTGTTTTAAGAAACCAATAGACATGAAAGCCTTGAGACCAAAATAAATAACGGAAGCTTTTGGCATATGTTTTTCAACGACTTTTGCGCTCTTGAAACAATTTCTTATTATTTATGATGTCATATTTTCAAGACATTCTTTTTAGTTTTACAGCTTGATGAAAACCTTTTTGTTTGACATCAGCCATTATAGATAATATGGCCATCTGAGTGTGTGGTACTGTTTGTGGTTTGTTTTTAACTGTTTAATACAGTTAATTATTCAAAATGTCAGAGTTCCTTATTTTTAAACTGAAACTTGCACCTAACGTTCAAAACATAAATAACAACAAACCTGGAATTATGCATTTGGGACATTGTGTTGCTTTTTCTTGTTGTACCGAACCCGTACCGAACCGTGACCCCCAAACCGAGGTACGAACCGAACCGTGACTTCTGTGAATCGTTACACACCCCTATATTTCTGGAATCTCAGCTTGCTAGCTGATGTCTTGTTGTGCAGATCCGATAAGTGGTGGAGTGTTTCTACCGTGAGTTCTGTGCTAAGTGCGTAGCATTTTTTCGTTCAGGGCTGATTCAGAGGCTTGGCGTTAGACGTTTGGGCTAAAAATTGTTCATATTGTCAGTTAGCTGAGTTTCCTTTCCCGTTAAGTGGATATGACACATTCATAGTTTTGTTAAATGTTAAGAAGCCCTCAGACGCTGTTTTCTTGCAAGATGTTGAGTTTTGCCCCCGCGGGCGGGGCTTAAACAGGTTAAGACTATACCTTTACTCTTTATCCAAGTGTTACGTTTTATATTATATTTCTTTTAATAAATCGTACCTTCTTTGTAATTTCGCCACCATTTTACCCCACTAAAGCATTTCTTGAGTGTTTCTTGTACTATCAGACTTCATTTTAGCAATGTCAAAGCAATCTTAAAACTGAGCAGTTAGACAACATTTTTAATTAGATTCAAGTTGTAATGAACTAGAATTATCCTCGGAGTGCATGGCATTTACTACCAGTATTATTTACAGATACAATATTACTAAATCATAACTTACTGAACTATTGAAGATGATTAACATGCTTTCACACCCAAACTGGAGTAACATGTAAGCATGGAGTACTACGGCAAATTCAACAGGATCATTGTGTCTTCATGTTGTCATCAGTGTCTGAAGTCTATATCGCTGTAATGCTGAGTCATGGTGCTGACCTTGTCGTCGCAGCTGCAGCCCAGGTCGTCTGTCCCTGCCGGCGCCAGGGCCGAGGACAATGGTCTGGACACCTCCCTCGGGCATGGTGGCTCTGTGGGGGGGGGCTCCTCAGCAGTGGTTCATACTGCCATGTGGTTCCATTGTTAGGAGCTGGTTTCAGACCCAGAAGATCTGAGAGTGGGAGAGCCAGTTTCACCGCAGAATCAGAATCAGAATTCCTTTATTAGTCCTGCAGCGGGGGATCTTTACAGTGTTTACAGCAAAAGGGGCATAGCAGGTAAAAAGGCGACAATAATGAAGAGTAGGCTAACTTATTAATTATAAAGAAGAAAAGCACACATAAGTAATAGTATACAAAATAAAGACAAATAATTACATATCCATGGCTGAAAATGAGTAGCAGCAAAAAATAACTAAGTGACATAAGTAACAGATGTGTTGAGACATTTATAACAATGTATGTTTTTCACATAAAAGTGATTATTGCACAGTGTCTATAGTGCACATTGCAGGTTCATTGCACAAGGTTGCAGCAGTCTGTGTCGTCTGTGTCAGCTCCCAGAGACAGAGAAACAGACATTACGGTCCAAGATATCTGGAATCAAACACTCAGAACAAAGCACACAGGGACGCTAAAATATGTCTTACCACACATGACGTTATAAAGCTCAATGTTTTCGAAGGCTGGGACTTTAGTTTTGAATTTAAATGTAGGTCCATACCCCAAGAAAATAGTCTGAAAATGAAAATGGATTTGTTACAACAACGTTAATGTTTCAGAATTAAGGCCTAATTATTTGGCCTATTAAATCAGTGGAATCGTGCATACAATGGAGGTATAATCAGTGTTACTGGACAATATAGATTATGAGAGTACCTGCATGCTGTTGATCTTATTGTCGTATCCATGGTCACCAGCGAAGCCGCAGTGCCTCTTCCCCTCAGGGACCTTCCTGTATTGAAGAATAGGAATTATTGTATTGGCGCACATTGTTGTTAGTCGGATTTAACAAATATGGAATAAAGTATCATATATTTAAAAATATCAAAGTAGCGACATAAGCTATGTCATTTACATATGACAAAAATCCACACTTCCAGCATCCATACACTTTCTAGGTTTTTTGCAACCATAGAAAGTGCTTTTTAGAAAACATTCATGTATCTGCTCCTCAGGAGGATCAACACTCTGGGTTTCACTATTTTGCACTTCGACGTGTTGACCAAGCTAAACAAGCAATTTTTTTTATTTTACATTTCTCTTCGCGATTCTGAAAATCCTACCCACCAATTAATGCCAAACTGTGTTCAAATAAGGGAATTTGTAAAGAGATGTTTCGAGCTAGACTTTTGAGAATCTATGAAAAACTGTTCAGGATTACTGCTTCCTTGAAAAACAACATGGTGTTATTTTTTCTCTGAGCACACAGCACACACAGTGAAATGTGTTCTCTGCTTTTAACCCATCCTAGTACCAGGAGCAGTGGGCAGCTATTGTACAGCGTCCGGGGAGCAATGGGAGTGAGCGGGGGGGGGTGCCTTGCTCAAGGGCACCACGGCAGGGCAGGAGGTGAACGTGGTGACGTCACATTGCATAAAAGTCAAATAAATCATGAAGGGTTTCACCTCAAAGGTTCCAATTACTAGACGTTTTAGAAAGGTTCCAGTTTAACTTCAGTATGTTTTTATTATTCAGCTACTTAAAGGTGGGGTAGGTAAGTTTGAGAAACCGGCTCGAGATCGCTAGAATTTGAAAATACACAACCGGAGAAAATCTGCCACTTCCTTATAGAGCCCCTCCTCCAACACAAACGAACGCGCACATGACCAATGAGGGCACGAGATAAGTTTGTGCCCCGATGGAAGGCTGACAGGCAGGTAGGCCAACCAATCCGTTTAGCCGGGCCGGCTAAACGGATTGGTTGTACCTTTTACAGTATTACAGCTTCCACAGATGACATTTTTTTATGGATTTTTTGTCAAAGCACTTCAGATATTCATTGCTATCGGGGTGTTAAGAGCATTCCATGGAATATAACAAAAAGTGTATCTCGAGCCGGTTTCTGAAACTTACCTACCCCACCTTTAAGCCCTCTTCCCAGGAAAAGCACTCCTTAACAGCCCCCAGACTCAGTCCTGAAAAAAGGCCACTTCGTGCTAAGTGTCTTTTAAAAACGACTTACTACTTAATGTGTGTGTGTGTGTGTGTGTGTGTGTGTGTGTGTGTGTGTGTGTGTGTGTGTGTGTGTGTGTGTGTGTGTGTGTGTGTGGTGTGTGTGTGTGTGTGTGTGTGTGTGTGCGTGTGCGTGTGCGTGTGTGTTGTAAGCCGAGGTTTGTTTTCCCTTTTCAGTGCAGATGACCTCATGGTTTACTTTGTCACTGAATCACTGCGGTCACACTTCTCACCTCTCAACATCAAAGTCCCCTTCAGCAGATGCACAAAGATCTATGGTTTTCACACGAGTGTGGCCCATAACAGCACATGTTAAAAAATATTAGCACTTAATATGTTAATGGTGTGTTATTAGCAGCCCATCATTAAATGTATCTTTTAAGTAAAGCAAGATGTTCAGTAAAACACTCAGATGATGGGTGGGCTGCCACATCACTTCCTGCTAGTAAAAGCAGCCAAACATTTAGAGTCAATTAGTCACTTCTACAGGAGAACCCTGAACATCTAAACATTTTAATAATTATGGGGGGCGGGGGAGACATGGATCACTTGACAAAAAAGCAACGGGACCCAATTGGATTTTGGAATAGTTCCGAAAATGATATCTGTGGCAAACACACATTTATGATACGTTTTGTTCAGCAGGATAATCTCCACATATCGAAACTTTTATAATAGTTGAAGCGTAAATGCAATCAGCAGAATCAAAAAGCTAATGCTAGGCTACAAACAAACAACATCACACTTCATGGCTGCACTTCACCAGCGCTAAGCTAAAGGCAGCTAATGTTTAGCGACGTTTAGTCATCTCATGTAGTCACTTATTAGCAACTGCTTTTTTTTATGACACTTAGCAGCTTCAACATTCACCAGTGTGGTTTTTATTGACGTATTTTATGTCGTAGAACAAAACATATTTTTCTTTTCAATTGGGCCATCGCAAAAAACAATTGAATTTGGGGACAGGGGAACGGGAAATGTTCAAATGCTGACTCATTTCCGGCTTTTAGGACACATTACTGCTCCTCTCCAATTTTGTTGACGTTATTTGTACTTCCTGTTGCAGTGGTTGTACTGTACCTGGCAACGTGCCACTTCCTCTCCACCAGCAGGTGGATGTCCTCTATGCGTCTGTTGTTGGCGTAGTGCAGTCTCTTGGGCAGGTGCTGCTTCAAGTACGCCTTAAAGTGCTGGTCTGCTCTCTTACACTGGAACAAAGCCATCACACAGGTCACCAAAGTGCAAGAAGAAACAAACAAGACTACGACACCACTGTTGTGCAATAACACTTACTGTGTGTGCAATATGTTCCGAGTTCAAATTATTATTATAACTGGCTGCCTTCTTAGTTTGAAAATGGTAATACTGTAACAAGAATCTGTAAGTAACTATGTGCAATATATAATCTTACTTCTGTTATCTAGCTTCTACCGGACGACATCCTACATGTATCACTTCATTTTTTTCGGGTAAAAACGGCTGCTGCCACTTTCTACCCGAATGTTTACTTTGTAAATTGTGAACTTTTTTTATTACGAATTTACTTAATAAATTGCAAACACTTTTAATTTGTATTTCTAATATTATGTTCATGCCCTTCATCCAATAGTGTTTTATTGTTTGTCTCTATCTTACTTTTGTTGCAATAATGTGAATGTCCTCTCTGTGGGAAGAATAAAGGAAGTCTGATTCTGATTCTGACCAGCCGTTATCACCTGATCCATATTTCTTTGCTACAATAGTAAAACATTTCTTCTCATCAAACTTAACACATGTCGTCATCAATACTCATCACACAGTTAACTCTGCACGCTCATATTTGCCATGCAATCCTTATACTTACTGTTAGATTTGCAACAACAGCCTTGGCATCATCTGAAAAGATAACAATGAACAGAGCAGTGAAAATAAATAATCAATAAATAAATAACTTATGTAAAGCATTAATCCTCCATTTTAAAGTAAAACAAAGCAAGATAATGTTACCAATGAGAAGAAGTAGGACAAATAAACAAAGACATCTTACTAAATATCAATTTAGAAAATAAATGGTACGGCCAATGTTTCCACTGGTAGCTGCTGTAGGTTCTGTGGATGCTGCCATAATGACATCACAGCCTCGTGTTATTTATGGTGATGAAGATCTAACAGACAAAAAGCTCTGTAACAACGAGCTCAGCACGATCAATCATTAGCTGATGTTGTTCATGTTGAGTGAACAGAATACAGAAAAACCAAAAGAAACAATAAAAGGAGAAAGAAGAGAGAGGAGTATGAGCTGTCACTTCTCTAACATTTAGGGTTGTTGGGGAATCTGGAGCGTATTCTGCCCAGAGACCCAGGGATCAGGGTGATGTCATCAGCGTTGCTCAGGTAGTTACTGAGGAACTCAGTGCGATCACAGTGGGCCTCTTCCATACCTGAGGACACACACACACACACACACACACACACACACACACACACACACACACACACACACACACACACACACACACACCACACACACACACACACACACACACACACACACACACACACACACACACACACACACAAACACACACACACACACACACACACACACACACACACACACACACACACACACACACACACACACACACACACACACACACACACACACACACACACACACCACACACACACAATCTTAAAATACTCCAGTATAAGATGTCCTGAAGTCAAAAATCCAAAATACTCAGTATGCACAATGACTCTTTTCAGACTATTATTATATTTTAGAATATTATATTATTCTGTTGTTGTTGTTGTTGTTGTTGTTTTTGCTTACAGATACATGGAAGTGCAATTCAATGTTGTAGTTTGTCAATGTTTGCAATTTTAGCTACTTTTTAAAATACTGGTTTTGTTATAAGTACTGTATTGCATGATATCATATATACAAATCATGTGTTTTTATATGTAAAAGTAGCTGGTAGCTTTGATTGTTAAATACATGTGTTAGAGTAAAAAGTATGATATTTCCCTATTAAATATAGAAGTGTAGAACAGGGTTAAAGTAGTATAAAAAGAAATACTGAAGTGAAGTATGTTAGTAAGTGTCTGTGTGTGTGCGTGTGCGTGTGTGTGTGTGTATGTGTCCCACCATGGTCCCCCACCAGGATGATGTTGACACAGCGGTGCAATTTCATCTGTTTCAGTCCGTCCATCAGTTGGCCAACAATCCTGTCAATCAGTCTCAGAGGGCTGTTCAGCTGAAACACAGGAAGTGAGTGTGTGTGATGTGATGCCACACGATGCACACAGAGAGAAACTATATGGGTGTGTGAGTATCTTTCCATGTAAAAACACACATCCCAGTCTACACACATACACACATACACACACATCCCACACACACACAGGTGCTCACCTCGGCGCTCATGGGCCCCACTTTGTGTCCGTATGTGTCCGGCTGTTCAGAGTGCATGGCGTACACGTAGGGGCTGGAACAACATCACATCACATTGGAGAAGAGTTGAGCTACACTTATCAACATTAAATGCTTTTCTGAAACAGCTGCTTTACGGTGTTTTGAAGTGGTGGAAACCTAGTCCATTTACTCAAGTACTGCACTGAATGACCTTACCTGATTATTTTTACTTGATAGTACTTTAAACATGAACTTGACAGTAATGTTTACTACTTATTTATTCAGATTTTACATTACATTTAACAAAGAATGGTATGATCCATTTCAGACGTCTCTGAGTTGACAGAGCTTTCCCATTTAAATCACAGTCTAAAGCTTAAAGAGTTCAACTCATCCAATATTTTACAAAAAAGAGAATAATACAAAAAAAATACACATTTGTTAAAATAAATGGTTTTCTTGAGTTGCTGACTAAGATGTTAAAACTGCAATCTACATTTGATACAACAATAAATGCAATGCACACACTGATGTTTCAGTAATAAGTATTCACTGCAGAACAAGTTCTTTTAGGTTGATACTTTAAGTACCTTGCTGCTAATACTTCTGATCTCATAAGATTAATTTGCTTTTTGTATTTATTATATTGAAAGGGGGAGTGAGAGGGGACGACATGGAGCAAAGGTCCAGGTTTCTGACTGAAACACACTCACTCGCAAATGTACATTTCCTTTCTGAACATCTAGTTGTGATACTTGATTTCATTACAGGATGTGAAACAGCTGATCATGGGATATAGTGAAATTGTTTGCTGGAAACTGGAGTGTGAGACAGACAAACGGTGAGACAGGATTTCACCTCTCGCCTTCAGGGAGGTGGAGCCACTGCAGCATGGTCAGAATCCGCCTCTCCAACGGGATGGACCTGGAACATAAAGACACACAGGGAAGGGTCACATGGTTAACATTTGAAGAAATCCATAGCAGCAAGTGACAAACAAGCCACAGACAGAGTTAGAGCAATATACTGTGGTGCTGTCTTTATCCAACATTAACATCAAACTGTTCCTTCTCCTCACAAAGAGCTTCATTAAGCTGGGGTTGTAGAGTAGAACCCTCTCACTGTTTAGTGAGAGTGTCTCAAAGTCTGTGTGGTGACGAGGCCACCAACCCAGCAGCTGGCTGTCACACAGGCCACAGCTGTCAGACATCAAGCACAGGATGGAGGCCCTGGGCCCTTCTCACTTCGGTTAAATGGATTCCTTGCGTTCCTCACTTGCGTCGTTTCCCTGCGACTAGTCCCTCCCACCAGGGAAGCATGGAGAGACGCAAGGAAACCACGAGAAGCAGGGAAATTAGTTTTAAGAGCAATGGGACGTCCTTTCCTCCGGAGCGTCACGTGAAGCGACGTCCGTTTGTGATGACGCTGCACAGCTGATCGTCTGACAGCAGCTCTGTCCCCGTTGTTTTCACAAACACCCCCTCCTCTGTTAGTACACATTTACTGACACAAACATTTGTATCATCTGTTGTAGACCCAAATACATTAAATAAAATAAGAACTAATTCTCAAAAAAGATAAACGCCATTCTTAAAATGTATAAACGAACAATAGTTTGATTAATATTGATTGACACAATAGAAATAAAATAATTCAGAGAAGAAAAAGAGATATGTTATCTATCAAAACCCAGTAAGATTAACATTCATTGGATTGCACACTTTGTTTGGTTGTGTGGATATGTAGCAAATTAACATTTTAATAGCACTTAATGACTGAATGAATGGAAATGACAATCAATGAAAATGTAAAATGAAAAAAGCGATCATGAAAATGTTTCCAATAAATTAATAAAATGATTTTTGACCACTTTGTTGTTCAGATATCACATATTTGTAACTAAATGAAACATGAATTGAAACAAAACACGGTATAAACTGAGGAGTGACTCCCGTGAGGTTCATGTATTTTCTTCACTCCGCTGGGAAACTGCTCTCATGTCAAGAAGCATCAGATCAGTGCATGCGCTGCATCGTCCAAAAAAAAAACATGGGAGCGGTGGAGATGAGGAGGTGTCGGCGTTCTGGCGATTTACTCGGAAGGACTTCGGGTGGCAGTATACGCCGTGAAGTTGTTTGCGGCCTGCCAGTAAACCCAAAGCAGAATAAGAAGAAGAAGAAGAAGTGACGTCAGCGGCTTCATTTGCCTAATCCTCCCTCATGGATTTATTCCGGTGTGAACGCGATCTGCTCTTTAATTCCATGGGGTAACTAAGTGCTGGGAACTAAGGCCCCGGCCACACGAGGACGATAACGGTCGTTTCCGTTACCGTTTTGTGTCATATAGACCAGTGATTCTCAAATGGGGGTACGCAGACCCCTAGGGGTACGTTGGGGTACTGTAGGGGGTACGTGAGGTAAAATAAATAAAAAGGTTAATTAAAAAAATACCATGCATGATTACAAAATAATCTTAGTACAATAAGTAAAATAGAAAACACAATTTTATATAAAATATTCCTAGAACCACTCATATAAACATGTTACATTTGTGTATTGTATTTATAGTTTTTATTAATATATCATTTTGTTCATTGGTTTTTTAAACATATATTAATATTCAATTGAAAAACTCCTTGCATGCATAAAGATGAAAATATCCTTAGTTTGTTGTAATTCATGCATTAAGGAGTTAATAAATCAAACACTGTACTCACTATATTGTAATTATTTATATAGGCTTTTTCTGTCAAAAATGTCCGGGGTCGGTCAGGGGGTACTTGGCTGAGAAAATGTTTCAAAGGGGGTACATTACTGAAAAAAGTTTGAGAAGCACTGATATAGACCATTCGGCCACACTAGGACGACAGAATACGGCACTAAACGACTACGGTAACGATAACGGGTCCCAAGGTGGATAGAACGGCATACGCAACGCTCTGGGGGGTCAAACGGCTCCGTGTGTACGCCCTATACGATCATTTTCTGATAATGATGAGGCAATAGCCCCGCCTCTCCCCACCTCTGCTGCTCACCCCCGCGTCAAAGTAAACACTGAATTCAGATTATTTATCTTTCTCTCGATATGGACCTAAACGCGAGTGAAGTCTAATCTGACAGGACGGAGACACGCAACTCTGCTCACCTGCAGCTCCTCCCGCTGTGATGCGGCGGTGAACGGAGCAAAACACACACTTCAAGTGGTCAGATCATCACCCTTAGCTATTTTAATTACCTCTCAAACTACCTAAACTAGTTATAAATATGTTTATTTTTACTGTCGGCCGGGTCACTCATTACTGGATCAGCTGCTGCATGAGACAGACACTGGCGCTGTCCGAAGAGAGGGAGGAAAAAGAGAGGCTCCATGTATTTTATTATTATAATATATAGATTCGTTATTCATTTGTTTTAAAGCTCAATAAATAACAAAGAAGACCTTTGACCGGCACTTTCATAATTTTGTCGGAAGATTTAAACTTTAATACACGTTGACTGGCGAAAAACTCTGCCCGGTTCCCTCGGCCCCCACCGCGGAGAATAAACAGAAGGGCAACCATGACAACCACGCTTCTTCGCTGCTTTTGTGGAGGAAGTTACAGCGCCACGTACAGGCTCCTGCATATGTACTGCAGCTTCTCCAGCGGTTGGAGCTAAACGGAGCTATCTTGTGTGGGCAGACACTATCCGGTGAATATTGCGTGTGGACGGAAGCTTTTTTGCGATTGCGTTTGCGTTAATCCTATGCGTTTAGCCGTTTTCGTCCTCGTGTGGCCGGGGCCTAAGTACGACAAAGTACTTGGTGTGAAAGCGCCTATTGTGCAGATTGGTCCATTTCAGAATAATATGATATTTTTTATAATGATTGATCATTAAAGTGTTCTCAAAGCTGGTAAAAGTGCAGCTAGTTTGAATGACTTTGTATACTGCAGGGTAGCTGGTGGATTTACTCCAGGTGGAACTAAAGTCTGATTCAACACTTGATTATATTTCACATAGTTCATCCAAATCTGTGAAGTAACAAAAGGTATTAAATACATGTAGGAGAGTAAAAGTACACCATGTACCTCTGAACTGTAGTGGGGTAGAAGAATGATTCATCAAAAAGAACCTGGACTGAACATTAGTATGAATAATATTTGCACTGTATGTACACAAGACTTTCGTCGCACTGCTACCATCACATTTACATATATTGTAGAGTTATTTTATCTATTTATGTATTATTCGATTTGTATTCTTGTTCTTCCTATGTATGTGTGTACTATCTTTGTTTCTTTCTTATTCTGTTGCTGCTACGACACCTGCATTTCTCTACAAGGATAATTAAAGGTCTATAATATCTTATCTTATCCTCTGAATTGTAGTGGGATAGAAGTACAAAGTAGCAAAACATTTAAAAACTCAAGTAAATTACTAGTCTCTCAAAATTGTACTCAAGTGTGCTACTTGAGTAAATGTACTAAGTTACTTTACACCCCTGCTTCTATCTCTGCTCTCCCTGTGGTTAGGGGGACCCCCCAGAAAGCTGAACCCAGCAAAGACCTTCCACCAGTCAGCCAACCATTTAGCAAACCTCCCAGCTCCCATCACCATGCTGTCCCACTGTGGCACTGTAACCCTGTACTGTGTTGTTAAAAGGCTTCCTGTCTCTCCCCCTCTGTCCTCTGCACCGTCTCCTTCTCCTCTCCTCCCTTTCTTCTCCCCCCTCTGTCAGTGCCCAGTGTAAGGAGAGCAGTAAACCACACTGCTTCCATAGAGTGGCAAGTCTATGACCCTGGTTCACAGGAGTCGTGCATTGTGTAAACAGACCCATTTGCTCAAATTGCTGTAAAAACAGGCCTCAGCTGAGATGTGCCCCCCTGCTCCATCAAAGCCTGCTCTGTGCTGATTAATGTGGGCTGTGGTGTGTTCACAGGCTGTAGGGTTAGCGCAGCAGGAACATGAACAGGCATGTTCTGATCACTTCCTCTGAAAAACGTACACCACCAAATTATTAACACTGATGAATGATCAATTAAACATGATGCATCTGCAGGGGCCTTAACAGCCAACCTTCTTTGTTTTTAGTTCGGTGTTTGGGGAAATGAGAACAATACCACATGTGCTCAGGTGGAGCTTCATCAGGACTACACATCATATTCTACAGACTTGATCAAATATCTTTGTAAGGAACAGATTGTCTTTAAGAATCACACCATGATCATTTAAATATATCTTTCAATGATAATAAAATGAATGATGCCAGAATGATCAATCCCTCCATTATTGTGTTTTTTTACAATTACAATATCAAAATAATAGATTTGGCAGAAATGACTCATGGTTGGAAAGCATCCAATATTAATACATTACAATTTAATTATTTACATTTTAACAAACAGTGCATTCAGTATAAAAAACTCCCTGTAAGTCCTGTTTACAATCCCTGACTCATTTGAATACATAATGCCAGAGACAACTTTTCCAGAAAAGTATCCACCAATCCGTGATATGTACTAAGTAGAAATAAGATTAAATAGTAGTAGAAAACTAATGGAAAAAAGGAAGAGGTTTACTGTGACTTTGTGGAAGATTATCTTTATGGACATCCAAGTGTGGGAAGTGTATTCAGAAAGAAATGTGTGACTGAAATCTGTAAATGTATACTCACACAGGCCAGAAGAAGGTGGCAGCCTTCACTCCCTGTTTGAGCGCGGTGATCCAGATCTGTGAGAGAAACAGAACAGTGTCATTTTGTATCGCTATGTTAGAAGGGGACCACAGGAAAACCAAGGTCATGCTGGAGTAGCTACAGTACACCAAGAAGGATATCTCTCTGTGGGAGTATGGAGTACTACATCTCACAGTAACTGTTATTATATCTATTATTATTACTATGTCTTTATTTAACAATGACCATGTATAAAATGACATTTGTCTCAAAAAGAGAAGAGATGCCAGATTATAGCTAGAGGCTAATTTCCATCCATCCATGAACTTGGTGTCCATAGAGCATTTTGAAAACACTGATGCTATATTCTATTCAGTTTGTCCAATTTGTGAAACAACAAATCAAATCATGTGGAAAAGCCCCTTTACTAGTACCAGACAAATGTAATGTCAACGTTGGTGGACCAAATCCAAACCTCAGTCAGCCAATTTCACAGTTTTTTTCAATTTGCACATCCTGATATTTGTACTTGACTAAATGAAAGACCCAGAAACCACTTTTTTAAAAGCTGAAATAGAGTTGAAAGTTAGGACAGTCGACAAGAAATGTTCCACAGTCCCAGCTTTTGAACAGATACACCCCTCCCCAGCTTCAGATCAAGGTGTGCTCTCTATCTATGCAAGTATTGCCCAGTGTAAAACCCCACAGGAGCTATGCGGTCCCCTTTTAGGTTTTGAGCATCCAGACTACTTTCCCCCCGCTTAAGAGCTGAGGTTCAGTACCTTCAGGCAAAGTTGGCAGACTGCCTTTTTCCCTCTCTGAGACTGGCCTGCAGCTTGCACACTATAATGTTCTAGTTAGGGAATTGAAAACGAGGGTTCCTTAAATAATCACATGTCCTGGATGTTGTTGGTGGCACAGGAGATCTAAAAAATCTGCAATGCCAGCAGTACTGAAGTGTAAAAGTATCAGTAAGATCCACATCCTCTGGTGCTAAGGGAAAGCAGCGTGTGGTAAGCCAACGTCCCAGCTCTCCCCAGCAGCACTTTAGATATTTCCAACCAGCCTCGATCCCTGGTGCCAGTCCCAATGCCATCTGGTTTTCTGCGCCTGTCAGCTGGCAGTTGAGAGCAGATTCTCTCCTGGGCTGAGCTGAGGATCGGTTTGCTCCTAAGAGGTCAGTGTTGAAATCCATTGCATGGGTTCTCATCTTACCCAGACTGGGGGGACTGTACCATCTCTCCAGGTTTAAGAAGAAAGACATCTGGCATCTCTTTTTTTATTTGGAGGAAGACCTATTTCATTTTCTTTTGCAGGAAGAGCTCAACTCTCCTTCTGCAGCTGTTGACCAGCAGAGGGTTAGAGTCTCTGTAAGCCCTGTTCCATGTTTTTAATGCTGGCTTCAATTTCCTCAACAATTGCCACATAGACTGAGGTGGCAAAAAACTCAGTAAACAGTCAAAAAATCTTAACTGACCATACACATAGGGGTAAAAAAACAATCAGCAGGTGAACCCAATTAGCAGGGACCCGAAAATCCTTAAAAACTCCATGTTCACCACCACTCAGGCTCACACTCACTGGAAACGGAGAGAGAGGAGAGGAGAGCAGAGAAGAGGATAAGAGAGGAGGAGAGGGGGTACTCACTGGCTGTCCTCCCCACCAGCGATGGTTGAGTTTCTCTCGGCTCCTCAGGGTGAAGGTGGCATCAAACACAGGGTCATGCATGGAGTTACCAATGATACCATGAGACTCTGGGTAGAGACCCTGAAACCCATTTAAACTGATTTTAGGATTAGGCCAATATACTGTAATAACTGTACTTCACTGGTCTTCTTTTCACTGTTCCTGTTACAATGCTTCAGTAATGGACTGTCCATGCACTACATTCTCACTCAACTTCTGTTTGGATGTTGGTGAACTGTACAGCATTAATTAGCCTATGTTTAGCTACAGTTACTTTGGACCTTATGTGAATGTTAGCATGTTAGAATGTTAGCACTTGCTTATTATACTAGTATTAGATATTACAGCTATCAAATGCTTGCCATAAAAAAGCATTACTAAAATGTCAACATTACATCATACTTACAGCATACTCAGTGAAACATGCTAGCTAATTCAGCTACAGCTACAATTAGTTAGCCTCAGCTGTACTTTGAGCTGGATGCTAGTGTTAGCAGAACATTTGATGATAAAGCTGAGGTTAACAACTGGAAACTGACTACTTGACTATTGATGGCAACACTTACGGTAGCCAGAGAGTAGAGGTTGGGGAAGGTCTTCGACGGGTAAACAGGCCTCATGTATGGAGCATGGGTTCCACATGTTCCTGAAAAGGAAAGCCTTACCTTAGCATAGAGCAACCCATATATTATATTATAATAACGAAATTATAGTCACAAAATGTTTTTAATCTATTGATTCGTGTTCACCGACATGATTTTCGTGTCACACAGAACGATTTTAAAAGCAATGTATTTCTATTGGTAGTATGTTTCGTGCCTGCACCACGTTTTTTGTCCAGTCGGGTCTTGGAAGACAGGAAGCTGTGGGGTTCATAAAAACATTTTCTTACTCAATATCTTACCCTAAGCCTAACCCTTTTATTTTTGAATAGTATAATGTCTGAGTTGTTTTGCAATCCGTGAGGAAAATAAATTGGGCTCAGAGCCTCAGAATACTGAAATCTGTATTTTTTAAAATATTTGTTTCCTTCTAATTTGTTATTATTTGGTGCAAAACATGGGGAAAATCGTGTTAGTGAACACAAATCAATAGATTAATTTCGTGACTATAACACGAAATGCTGTGAGACTGTGTTGCATAGAGACACCCATGGATATAACCAAATCAGTTATTGCTCGTCTATGATCCTCACTACATAAATCATCACATCAACAGAGCCCCCCCACCTGCCAAGGACAAAACCTAGAAATCTTTTCTCATAGTCCCATGCAGGTCTTACTCAGTTTCTCGATGTTGGGTATGACAGTGTTTCCTCTCTTCACAAAAGAAGCTCTAAATCCGTCCACAGACAGCATGATGAGCGGCGGCCGCACAAACCTGCACACACATATATCAGAGGAAGAACAAAAATGATGATGTGTAAAATCAAATCGAATATGAAACTGTTTTTATATTAACACAGATGATGTGAACATACCCAGCAGGACATTCAGGTGTCTTGATCTCCTCACAGTCATCCTGCAGCCACGAGGAGTCTCCTGGAAGAACAGGAAGAACGGAGAGAGAAAATGATGATACAACATCACAAGCTACTGAATGGCTTGCTAATACATTGTTTTTGTATTATAGAAAAGGAAAGGAAAGTTTTTGAATAAGACTTATTCAAAAAGCAGCAGAATCTCTACTCTGAATCACCTATACTCTAAACTTACTTTAACTGTAGAACACACAGCTCCCTAAATGTTTAAAATATTTCTTTCCTTCTTTGTGTCCAAGCAGCCTGACTGAAGAGACACAGAGAGTAGTCCAGCACAAATGTGTCTGAATTCTACTGAAATCCTTGGTCAAATGTATTTTTGAGATCAGCGCTGATCTCTTTTCCCTGTGTGAAGTCTTTGTAATAATAATGCACATGCGGTTTAATAAAAAAGTTATACGTTCTCCAGGAGAAATCCAACAGGCAAGTTTCTCTAAAGTATTCCCAGCTAGATAGATAGAGGTTAGCTAAAGGTACACTTACAGTGTCTAACATATGACTGCAAAGTACATACTCAAGTAATGTAGGCTACTTAAGTATAATTTTGGGATACTTGTACTTTACTTAAATATTTCCATTGTACTTCTATTCCACTACATTTCAGAGGGAAATGTTTTACTTTTACTGCACTTCAATATCTGACACTGACATATTACAATTTACATCAACACGTGTTGATATGATAATATAGATGAGAGTAACACCTAGTCGCTTCCGGGCAAAAAAGTATGGCCCCGCCCACTTTTGGGGGAAAACAACGCTGTCATTTGAATGCCGGCGGTCAATACAAATTCTGAAGTTTTTGCCAATCCGATCAAATTGTTTTGAAAACCGTGGATTTTTGGATCTTCAAACGTTCATAATTTCTCTGCTTTGTTTCAAGACCCGCATCAGAAAGCTTTTGAATGGTGGTACTTTTCCAGTTGGTCTACCTGCTCTTCACGTAGCTCTGCATGTCGTCGCTTAGGTGCTTTTTTTTTCTGGAGATAGGCACTGCTCAATCCACTCCTCCATAGTAAGACCACCCCGGAGGTCGAAGTTAACCTTAAATGTTTCCATCTTAAGCTTTGTTTGTTTGTTAGTTAGTTAGTTAGTTAGTTAGTTAGTTAGTTAGTTAGTTAGTTAGTTAGTTAGTTAGTTAGTTAGTTTTGTAACGGATGTAATGTAACAGTTGTAACGGTTGTAGCTTTTTCTCAGACGCGGAGGGATACATGACTTGTGAAAAGTAACTACAATTCTACCCGTGATATACGCTCATTATATCACGGCTAAGAACCAATCAGATTGCTTGATTTGTCCGTTTTATAATGTCTATGTAATACTAATTTACTTTCCAAAACTTGCTCCATATTGACGAATTATAACATTAAAAAACTCTTGAATGTATTTTCTAAGGATAAAATGCACTTGAATGTACTTGAATGTTCAGGACAGTGGCAGACCTTTGCACAGCGTCCTGTAGTTGGTACAACAGTCTCCTCGGGCCAGGCAGTCCTCAGAGCAGTGGCAGGCGTGATGCTCATTCCGAGTCTCCCCACATCGATCCTTACTGCACTCATAACCCCCCTCTGTGTACCGGGACATAGATGTTCACAGAATAACCAGCAGGGAATTTCAAGAGTAGCTCCAAAAACTTTGATATATACACAATTCATCTGATACATCACTGCTGGAACCACCAGCGCAGAGAAAAGAAAGACGATATTAATTTAGCAGTGGTGTGGCTGCGTTCATACAGATGAACACTAAGCAGTTTTGGATTAACATTGACAATATTGCATGTTTTCTGGCCAAATCCTCCAGATGAGAACAGCAGATGACAGTTGTAGCTCAAAGTCTCTGGGTAGAGAACCCGAGTATATCATCAGGTTCAGACCCAGGCAGGATTACAGTGGCAAGGCTGTGGTAAGCCATAGACCACCAGGCTGAAGGAGAGAACTTCAAATCAGACCACCAACACTGATGTGGGGGGGCAGAGGGAAAGCTGCCCATAAACACGGAGAATAAGAAACAAACTACAGCTCACATCACAGGTAAGAAACCTGTTCAAACTGAATTGTACATCTGGACAATCGGGCTTAAGATCATACCTCAGATGAGATTTGTTTGCTCTGATACTTGATCTGATCTTAAAATGGTTCACATTAAATTTAAACTCACCAATATGTAAGAGAGCCCTGGAGATTTCAAATTCAAACTGATCAAACTGAACAAACATTCCTTCATTGAACATTATTAGGCTCTGTCTTAATAGAATATAGGGATAAATGTCTCAAAAGCATGCCAACAAACTGCAAAGTGGATTATGACTAAAGATGTATTAGACCTAAAATATGCAGGTCAGTTTCAGTCATAACTCTTAAGTCAAAGCTACACAGAAGTAAAAAAGGAAAGAGCAGAGAGTACCTGTCCGGAGGCACAGCTGGTCGAAGTCCCAGCAGCAGCTGTTGTAGGTCTTACACAGGTTGTCACAGCGGCAGCTGGGGGGGGTCCAGCTCCAGCAGCTCGAAGCACCTGTTCCTGCAGGAGCCGGAGGACGCCACGTACTGAGGAGCTGAGCGAGCTGCAGAGAAACACGCTCAGCGTTATCGCAGAACACTGCTGAAAACTGTTTGAACATCAATGATTCGCTGCATCATCCAAAATCAAATGTCAAAAATATTAAACAATAAAAATCCCTCAGTTTCTTGTTCATGTTCAATGTTATAAATATCTGGTAACTCAGCAGTATATTGATTTTAACAGTAAAATGCGGTTTGAGCTAACCAGCCAACTCTTGTGTTGGCTGGTTATAACATCTTTATCATAAACAAGCGCCAGTGTTGCTGGGGGTATGATTTCACATGACATGATAATTCTGCCATTTGTATGATGTGTGATGGACCATTTTTAAATGTTGTTTTACTTGTCATGAGCTCTCCTGGAGCAGTGTAATGGAGCTGATTCTAAGTGTATTGATATTCTATTGAAATACTTTTTAGCGACACCGTTCACCTTTCCTTTTGATAATCAGAAGATGTTTTACTTCAAATGTACACATCACATGTCATTATATAACATGTATATTCTAACATACAGTGGTGTATACAAATGTAATACTATTATTATGATGTCTTATATTATGATACTAATTTTGCTTTATTTATCTCTTATTTCAGTTTGTGCTAGCATTACTAATCAAAGGAGAAGCTGCTGTGATCCCATTGAGCAGAACAAATATATTCCCTCTCAAAATGAAACCCCATCAATGTGTTGTAATGTAACTATGACAGCATAAAACACTTTGACTGTGACTTTGAATGACTGATGTTGGTTTGGCCACCAGTGGTGCCTACAAATGTCAACGTCATTAAACTCAACACCTTCCTCAGTTCAGAGACATGAGCAGGAACTGGGAGGACATCGTGGAACCAATAACACAATACTGTACAGTATGCTGTCCAAAAAACGGTTTAAATAGCTGTTCAAGTGTCATTAAAGTCGACTAAATGTATTGACCTGGACTGACCTGCAGTCAAATCATTTCAACGTACCACCATGTCAAAAACAACAGACGTGGTTGGCAAACAAAAAATGTCAAATGAACAATTCACATTGCATACAGTCACAAAGAACTGTTAGCAATGTGCCAAACTCAACAGTTTAAATGTTCTCCGGGGACCAAGCTGTGTAATTCTAGCGCACAATAATGCTCTCTTTCCAATAGGTCCCACAGGACGGCGGAACCCGAGCTAAACTGAAGACATCCTGGAGATCTGAGCGTGAGACACACTCCACTTATTGCTACAATTCTAACAACATGCTCCTTGTTCACTCACCTTTGAAAAAACAACCTCAGACGCAGAGAAAACCTGAGGATGCCAAAGGGAGTTTGTGAGTTCCTGTGTGGGCATACGAATGTGTGTGTGTGTGTGTGTGTGTGTGTGTGTGTGTGTGTGTGTGTGTGTGTGTGTGTGTGTGTGTGTGTGTGTGTGTGTGTGTGTGTGTGTGTGTGTGTGTGTGTGTGTGTGTGTGTGTGTGTGTGTGTGTGTGTGTGAAAGGACACGTGAATGTGCATATGGATTCTGTGTGAAGGAGCTGAGGTGTTACACTGTGAATGATTTATCCTGCCCAGTTGGCGCAGCAGTGAGTCAGAGTGAAGCAGCACCAGTCCCCTGTCAGCTGGGAGAGTGGGGACTGCAGGTCAAAGGTCAACACTGTCTTCTGTCTCAGACTAATGGACCCAAGACTTCAGGAAGTGTGCCAGGCGTTCGACTTTTTCCCATTGATTTGCACTGGCGGATAATAATGTTTTTTTGGGGGAAGTCAACCTCTGAACAAAAGGCCCTAATGCAGGGTTGTATTAGGGCATTTTGGTAATTGGCCCAGAGCTAATTCTAAAAGTATAATGGAATATGAACCACACATCTATTCATCTATCTATCTATCATCTCTCAATCAATCTATCTATATCTATCTCTATGTCTGTCTGTCTGTCTGTCTGTATGTCTCTCTGTCCATCTATCTATCTGTCTGTCTGTCTGTCTCTCTGTCCATCTATCTATCTATCTGTCTATCTATCTATCCGTCTGTCTGTCTGTCTGTCTGTCTGTCTGTCTCTATCTATCTATCTATCATCTCTCAATCTATCTATCTATCTATCTATCTGTATGTCTATCTATCTATCTATCTATCTATCTATCTCTCTGTCTATCTATCTCTCTGTCTGTTTGTCTGTCTGTCTGTCTATCTATCTGTCTGTCTGTCTGTCTATATATCTATCTATATATCTATCTATCTCTCTGTCTGTCTGTCTGTCTGTCTGTCTATCTATCTATCTATCTATCTGTCTATCCATCAATCTATCTATCTGTCTGTCTGTCTGTCTATCTATCTATCTATCTGTCTATCCATCTATCTATATGTATGTCTATCTATCTATCTATCTCTCTCTCTGTCTGTCTGTCTGTCTGTCTGTCTGTCTGTCTATCTATCTATCTGTCTATCTATCCGTCTATCTATATGTATGTCTATCTATCTATCTATCTGTCTATCTATCTGTCTCTCTGTCTGTCTCTCTGTCTGTCTATCTGTCTGTCTATCCATCTATCTATATGTATGTCTATCTATCTATCTGTCTATCCATCTATCTATCTGTCTGTCTGTCTGTCTGTCTGTCTGTCTGTCTGTCTGTCTGTCTATATATTTCAACTGATTGCATTGTTTTCAGAATCAGGATTTTTTGGGAATAATCACAACTCTAATCAAAGTCAAAAGGAAAGTGATGCTGGCACTGTGGACTGCTTTCTCAAACACGTATATGTATATTTATGATTCTGATGTCATTCTTAGCAAGTCTGAGGGCAAAATAAAGTCAAGGAGAAAACATGAAGTATGATATTGAAAGCTCTGCATGGGAAAAGCCAGTTAATTTATATTGAACATTATGCATGGCTCTGTGAGTCCTGACAATACCTCAGCCTGACACTGAAGAATCAAAGTAATTTGAGTTAACTATGTTATTGAAAAATCTCTTGTTATTTTATACTATAAAAATAGAGGCTAATTATATAAATTAAATGTAAAAGTAAACAGATTCAGATGAAGGCAAGAACAGTATGCCAAAGTAGAGTTGTGTCTGCAGCCGCCGCCGGTTGCCATGACAATCCATGGCATAGTGGAGCAGACGTCTCTGGTCTCCTGCCACCGGCTCTGAGAGGCTGAGCCTCAACGCTCTCTCACTGTTGACCCAAGGTAGAGCAACACAAACACACTCTCTCTCCTCAAAAAAACACACCGGCTGCCCAATCACAGCCTCACAGGGTCACAGTGATCCGTTGTAACAACCCCCCACCACTACCACCATCTATTCCCTCATTTCATATGGACTGGCAGACACTCCATATAAAAAAATCCAGCAAATAAACGGAGCAGGAGACATTCCTGAGGAGCTGCAGCTCAGCTCTCATCCAGTACATGTTCAGAGACAGCCAGGTGGACATGTGTCTCTGCAGCTGACGCTGGGGCGACTGATTGCACTTGAAGCTCACACAGGGAACAAGATTGACTCTGCGTTGAAAAACAAACTCAGAAGTTGTTTTCTGCGTGTGTCTGAACTTGGAGCGCAGCTTTAGGCAAGTCCTACACACACTTGGCCAAGATACATCAGAGCTGGTCCAAAACACACTTCACATCCCTGTGCTGAGCCACTCTGGCAAATAAATGAGAGTGTGTGACTTTCCCTCAGCTTTACTGCACAGAGTTCTGAGAAGCTTTCACTTTAGCTGAAGACACTCACATTGTTGTCCTACATCTGACAGCAGTGAACACGGTGGAGACGTTGGCTGTGAATTACAATGACTGTCATCATTGATGGTTTGTTTCAGTTCATTCTTTGGCACATACATTCTATGGAGGTCGGCTTCAGACCGCTCATTCTGTCCAAACAAAAGTCAGAACCTAAAGACATGACTTCAAATCTGTCTGATGGGACAGCCTGGATGTCTCTGAGTTTGGACTGACTGGAGGACAAAACAAGTCATTGTAAGGTAGAGTTTTAGAAACTAATACAATGATTGTTGACAAATCAAGAAAATAAATTGAAGATGAGAACATGATGACAATAATCTCTAGTTGCAGCCCCAAAGGATTTGCGAAACAGAGAAAAGATGTATGCACAAACTTCTGGTTATTATTCAGACCAGAGTCATATGATGAGGCCCTCTGTTTCGGGAGCGGGGGGGGGGTGAGGGGTTGCTAGTGGAGCTGCTTCTTCTTGAACCTCTCTGCGATGATAACACTGTTACAGTCAGTGTTGAGTTCACCCCCCCACAGCTCAAACACATGACGGGAAAGCTTTTCTCTGCTGTACACCAACTAAAAACTCTGATTCCCAGGTTCTCCAGGTGGAACTAAAGTCTGATTTAAGACTTGATTATATTTCACATCATCTGTAAAGTAACTAAAGGTATCAAATAATTGGAGTAGGGTAGAAGTACAAAGTAGCAAAAATGGAAATACTGAAGTATAAGTGTACCTCAACATTTTACTTAAGTACAGTACTTCATACTAAATGTACTTAGTTACTTCCCACCTCTGCATGGCAGCGTACTCACACTCAGTCCTGGCTGACGTCCCGTCCTCTCCTGAGCGTTTGGGCCGGTCGTACACAAATCCAGAACCCAGGGGGGAGCCACCGAGGATGGACAGGATCCACACACACTGAGAGACACACACACACACACACACACACACACACACACACACACACACACACACACACACACACACACACACACACACACACACACACACACACACACACACACACACACACACACACACACACACACACACACACACACACACACACACACACACACACACACACACACACACACACACACACATTAGAGCGGCTGCAGAGGCAGACTACAGAGGAACAACACAAGATCTCACTGATTAGCAGTTTTTCTTCACACACATTGTGGATGTGTGTGTCTATGAATCCTAAAGATAGAGATGATAATAATATTAATACCTTACATTTATTATAGCGCTTTTTCAGATGCTCAAAGCGCTTTACAAATACACACATGTAACGGTCATGTACTGTGGACAATACCCACAGGAGCAAATGCAGGTGAAGTGTCTTGCCCAAGGACATAACGGCTTTACAGACGCAGCGGCGGCGGGTTTCGAACTGGTGTTCCCCAACGCCCCCTTGATCTGATGATCAACGCACAGCCCACTGCGCCACTCCACCCATCTTCACACCTCGAAGTCATCAAGGCGCTTTAGAAGTACACATTACACACATATCATACATGTAATGGTCATGTACTGTGGACAGTACCCACAGGAGCAAATTCGGGTGAAGTGTCTTGCCCAAGGACAAGGACACAACAGCCTGACGCAGTGGCGGGTTTCGTACTGGTGTTCCCCAACGCCACCGTCTGATGATCAACGCACAGCCCACTGCGCCACTCCGTCCATAATGATGGGATATAACTTGTGACAACTCCTACTTTATAAAACATACGTAAACTGTTGTTGCAATATGTACGTAGTTTAACATTCTTATTGCTACTGCTGCCTCCTTAGTTTGACCATTACACTGGAACAGGGATCTGTAAGTAACTCTGCAGTATATCATTACCTCTGTATAACTCCACCACACCACATCCATTTATTTGATACAAACTGCTGCTACTGCTGATTTCTACCCGAATGTGTACTTTGTAAATTGTAATAACTTTTATTTTTGTAATATGATGTGCATGCCCTTTATCTAATAGTGTTTTATTTTGAGTATCTGCACTTTTGCTCTAACAAATGTCCCCTCTTTGGGACGAATAAAGTCTGATTCTGATTCTAAACATTCAGTGAAGTCCTGCTCATAGCCTGCTCATAGGTGAACAGCTTTTACAACACGACTTTTAGTTTTTAGACAGAGTATTTTTTATAAGATTCAAGGCTTTATTGTCATTTGTACATACAGTGTAGATATGTCAATGAAAAACGTAGGTCACAGGCTCCGCCAACAGTGCAACATATGGACATAGACAAATAAAACAGATACAATAGTGCAAGTAAATAGAAATAAAATAGAAATAGTGCAAGAAGAGTCTACAAGTAAATGGAATATGATTTATTAGAGAGCCACCAGTACTATTCTCCATAGAGCTTCCTGTGCTCCTGATGAGTGCCACCATCACATCTAATACCAACAGCATCACCATGTACCTCAACAATACGCTGTCTACATATCTCTGGACGTTTATAGTTAGACTAAAACGTTTGAATTCTTCTTAAAAGCCTGCGAGCTATTTCTGGATATTAATAAGTAACGTTAGAATTGGTTCGGTTTGGCTTTGATTTGGTGTGATTATTTCATAATGCTGTGCCTGTTGAAGAGCATGACTCACAGAGAACACAGTCGACTCCAAAATAAACCTCATAAAAATGTGAACGTTTGTGAAGCATTAAAACCTAAAAATGGAGACAGAGATAATACTGATTTATAAAGCTCTTCTTTTATTGGATGTGGTCTAACACAGTTCCTGCTGGCTGCATTTCACGATGACCTGTCAACACCGCTGCCGTGTTTAGTTCAAAGTGAATAGGGACCTCCTGCGGCTGCATGACAATCACCTTCAGTCGGTTCACGGATCTAGAATGGTTCTGTAAATGCTAAACAGCACGAAGGAAATAGTGTGTATTTCGAAAGAGCTAAGAAACTGGGAACATGCCCTTTGATCACAATGAAAAACTACCAGAACACACGGTGAAATGCGTAAAAGCGCACGGATTTACGCACAGAGATGTCTCCTCTCAGGAGTGACCTGCAGTTAAAAAGGGAAAGACATGAACTCCTACCGTACCAGTTTGTGAAGCAACATGTTCCTGTGTCGGTGAGCGGGTCCGGGCTGTGATGCTGACTCCGGCACCGAGGGACCACAGAGGCGCGAGCAGAGGGAGGAGGAAGTGAGGGGGGGTTGAGGGTAGGCAGCGGACCCGCTTCTTATTGGTGTTGGGCTGGAGGAGGGATTCAGAGATCCAGGAAAAAAAATATTGAACGGGGGGGGGGGGGGGGGGGGGCGCGCCGTCTGCAGACACAATTTCATCTCGTGTGTGGGGGGGGGTCACTTTATTTTCAAAACATGACGCTACTTAGTTGTTTTTTACCATGATGGTTTTTTACTTAATAAAAAAACATGTTGCATTCAATTTGCATTTGTTTTATTTTTAGTGTAAAAAAAAAACTAAGTACAGTATAATAAGACAAAATGTGGGATGTTACGTGGAAAGCTGTGCAGATACATTCATATTTATATCAGACAATGGAAACACACACGCGTTGGAAAAATTAAGACAAAACCCCCCCCTGATGGGAGTTAGGGGGGGGTTTTGACAAAATGTTGGAGGGTTTACTCAGGTAGACCCCTGAAGACATTCAACACCACAAAAAGGATCCCATGGCACATAAGAAGTTTCTCATGAATCTCAGCATGGAGCTCTACAATGAGATCAGACAGCTGCAGGACGAGAAGGACAGCGTCTCCCAGGAGCGGAGCACCAAGCTCAGGGACTGGGGGGGGGGGGGGGGGGGGTCTGCTGCTGCTGCTGCTGCAGATAGAGAGGCTGAGAAATCAGAACTCTGGTGTTAGTGGCGCAGAGCAATCAACTAGTTGCACATAAGAGGACGTTCCTAATGTAACGAGGGCAGACATGGAAAAGTGGAGTCCTAAAAGTAACAGGTTTAGGTTTTGGTAGAAGAAGAAGAGATGCTGAGTCCATTCAGCCTGCTGAGCCTACTGAGATATCTCAAAATGATGTATTATCTATCTGGGCCGAGAAGAAGAAAACTATAGGGGTCGAAGGAAATTGAGAGTTTGGCCTTGACCCAGAGTACAACAAGTCAAAGAGTGAAAACACAGAGGAGAAAAATGTGCCTTTCATAGTGAGTCCACATACAGGAGCCATCGTGAAGTCTGCTCGCCTGAGGGTCCAAAGAACAACCTGACTCTGAGCAGGATGTTAGCAGTGACCTCAGCATGTTGACAAACCTGGAAGACCACACAAATGGAAACAGTTGCAGGTCAGAGGAGACGAGCGAGGAGTCAGGAGGTCCCTCCGAGTGAGGACAAAGGCCTTCAATGTTGAGAGCATTAAGACTTTCCTTTGGATAAGTCCTTCGTTATCAGTATATTTTTGAGGTTGGTGGGCTCCCTAAGAACTTGGTGTTATAGCGAGTTTTATTACTGTTTCCGCCACGGCTCTAAACATAAGATTATATATTGCACTTAGTTTAGGCTTCTTTGTATGATTACATGCATGCACTTTAAGAATTCTGAACAAAAATCCCTAACTATTTTTGTTTGATGCCAATAGGAAGGATTGAGTGTCAGTATGGACACGTTTTAGTTGTCAAGCTTGTGAAATGAGGCAAACAAATTCCTTTATCTGATACATGCCAAGTACTGTATAAAGGCAAACACAACATGGAAATATATTATACGCTTTGTAAGCAGTTTCATCCATCTAAATGTCAAAATATTTGTGCAAAATGTAGTTGTGTATAAATTCCAAGATAAAATTAGCATACCAGAATTGATCAGCTAAAAGTAATGGAATCATCTAGTTTAATCACTGATGAGTACACGTGTCTTTCATTATTAATGATGACAGTCTGGCAACAAAAAAATATATTTTACACTGAATACAGACTATCATTTTAGGAAATGATTGTTGATGGACACCATTTTATCCATGTCAATTTATTTGAGCTTTAAAATGGTATACCTTGTATATCCCAGAATAACAGTACAATGGCCAATTTAAAACTGTATCAAAATTCTGCTAAAAGAAATAAATGCACTCATTTGACCGAGGTTTAAACCCAGCCAGCCTCAGTCACATGTTTTGGCTCTGTCCAAAATGGACCCGTTTTTGGACTGGTATATTTAAAACCTGTTAGCATCTATAGCTGTATTACACATACTAACTCATCGACTGCATTATTTGGCGTGGTCCCACAGGAGACACGAATAACAACTCATCAGGCTGAGGCTGTGGCGTTCTTTACCCTACTTGCTAGACGTCTGATACTCCTTAGTTTGAAGAAGGCTGCACCACCATCTCATAAGCGCTGGGTAGAGGAAGCAATGTTCCATCTTAAACTTGAACAGCTAAAGCACATTACCCGGAGCTCTATCCAGAAGTATCATAAGTTCTGGCAACCATTTCTGTCTTATTTTGAGATGGAGTTCTCTGCCATTTACCCGTAGCCATTTGATAATGAATGATCAGCAAAATAAGAAATTATCTCTGCAGAAAGTTACTATGAAGCATGAGATCTGTGGGGTTGATCTTGGTGTCTGCAACAATTAATTCAGCTTTTTAGATCACAAACACTGTTTGATTCAAGACCTAAGGCTCGCATCATGAATACATTTACATCTGGGTACACAGGAACATATTAGTTTTATATGATCTGGAGATAGGCTGTAGCCCTCTGATGATGGATAAGGTCATTGTTATGGTGGGGGGGATTGGGTGAAATATTCTCCTGTGGTGTGGATTGGTTACCCACCCGTCTGTGTGGTCTGGTTGAAGAAGGTTAAACTGATCCTGCTGTTACTTTTAGTAAAACAAAGAAAAGGGTTTAAACAGGTTAAGGGACAACTAGCAACACATTGTAACCAGGGAGCCTAAAGGCCCTGACACACCAGGCCGAAATCGGCCGTTTTCGTTAGTCGGACGACGAAGCGTGCCCTGTCGCCCAAACAATAGTTACGGCTGTAACTACGGTTCTATGAGTCCCGGATGACCGCCAGAGGCGGTGCTTTAAGCACTGGATATGTCCATCGCGCGCATGCGCAGCTCGAGTACCAATAACAACAAAGTCACCTGTGACCCATGTGACACCGGCTATATCAGCCGGTGTCGTCAGAGGATCTGTTCCCAGAATCTTCTCGCGAGCACACAATAATTCTGAGTGACAGGAAACTCTGGCGGTCATCCGGGACTCATAGAACCGTAGTTACAGCCGTAACTATCGTTCTATTTCGTCCCTACTGACTGCCAGAGGTGGTGCTTTAAGCACTGGATGACTTATACTAACAATGTCATGAAGAATCCAAGCCCTTGCTCACCACTGGAAACAGCGGAGCTCGACAAAAGGACCACGCCCAAAGAATGGGGAGTGGCGACATTGACCTGATGACAACTGGAGAATGTGCCAGAAGACGCCCACGACGCCGCGGCGCAGATGGTCTCCAGGGGCACCACCCTCAGGGCAGCCCAAGATGTTGAGATGCTCCTTGTAGAGTGGCATCTCAGCCCGATGGCAGGGGGCGGCACATTCTTGCCCCCCAGTTGGGGTAGAAAGTGCGTGAGTGCAAGCTGAGTGCAAGCTGCACAGTCCGAAGCCCTAGCACGTTGACCTGGCAAGCACCCTCCTGGGCAGACCGCTGACCATGAACGGTCCTGCCCTGCCGCACTGCACCCAACCCTGAGAGACATGCACCTCTGGTGATGGTCTCCTGGCGGGATGGGATGGCGCCCATGGGCACGCCCATTAAGAGATAGAACCTGCCCCTCCAGCGTGACAGAGAGTGGAGGCAATGCTGCGACACCCTGACTTCTCTGTGCCTGTGCCACTTGGCGTCCAAGTGAAGGCTATTCAGCCACATCTGCATGGGGCGCAACGACAGCGGGCCTAAGGGCCTAGCGGCCGAGGCAGCCGCCAGTCTGCCCAAGGGCCGGAGGAACTGAATATAAGGCACCATCTTGCCCGGCCCACGTGGAAGTAGGCATCCCTCAAGTCCACGGTTGAGAACCACTCCACCTGTGCATGTGCAGTGGTCAGCATATAGAATGGCAGCACCTTCAGGAATCTGTTGATTCCTCTGAGGTCCAAGATCCGGCAAAATCCGCCGACTTTCTTGCTCACGAGAAAGTACGCCGAGTAGAACCCCCTGGACTAAGCAGAGGATCTTACTGGCTCGATTGCATCCTTGGACAGAAGGACGGACAACTCTTGGGCCAGAGCTAGGGCCCCTGCCGGATCGCTAACGACTGTCAATTAGACCCAGCCGAAGGCTAGGGGCCGGAGCTGCGGTCCGTACCCCTGGGTTAAGGTGAAAACCACCCAAGGGCCGGAAGTACCGACTGCCCAGTAACTGAGCTGCTGCTGGGAAAGCAGCCGACGACTGCCCCCGGGATTTCAGGGCCCAGCCCCCCGGCCCCTGGAGCCCCTTGGGGGGAGCCGGTAAGGCTCTGGGGCACGAGGCCGCCTGGAAGGTGGGCGACCTGGGGCACGAAAGTCATTGGGAGGCGGTTGAGTGCCGCTGCTAGAGCGGCCCCTGGGCCTGCTGGGAGTGGGCACAGGTATGCGAAGACCCGAGAGCTGCTGCCTGGTGACCCAAACAGCTCCCCTGGCTCGACTGGTACGCTACGGAGGACTCTCCTACATGCCTCCGTTAGTGGTGACTGGGCCAGCCAAACCTGGCGACGAGTCTGTACCAGCGACAAGGCGTCCTCATACAGAGGTGCGTCAACCGAAGGAGGTGCGTCAGCCGAAGGAGGTGCGTCAGCCGAAGGAGGTGCGCCAACCGAAGGAGGGGCGTCAACCAAAGGGGGGGGGGGGGGGGCAGGCGGCCCACTAGCAGCCCCTACACCGGGCCCAGGCTGAAGGGCCAAGAGGCGACTTCATCATGCCCCTATCGGCAGCTAGCCGATCCACTTTAGAGGACAGCCTGTTTCTAGTCCTTCTATTGGGGGGAGCATCCATAGCCATCGCTCCCTCAAGTCACCGGGAACGGCCGAATTGCTCTGGAGGAGGATGTGACAAGGAGAGGTGTCTGTTGGCTGCTGCCAGACGTTCCACTTCAGTGATTCTAGCCACTCTGAGGCATGAAACTACAGCTCATGCAGGCGTTTACCGTGAGAACCTCCCTCAGATGCTCGAATTTCATCCCCACTGACCGCCAGAGGCGGCCGAGGCAGCGGTCGTGGCCGTCCTCGGGCTCAAGAGAAGCCATACAGGCGCTACGTGAATGAGCCATTCTGTAGGTAGCCAGATGCAGCGTAGCCGGGAGCGGGAACACAGCCTTCACCAGCTACCTGCTTAATGGAAAGAGTAGAGCGTTGCTGCTACTAGCCAAACAGAAAGAGGGATGTAATTACACCCACGTTACCGGCAGAGGGAGCGGGAGCGAGAGCACTGCCTTCACCTGGCTGGATTAATAAACACGGCAGTTCAGCGTCTACCAGGAGCTGGGGCGAGAACACTGGCGTCACCGGTTGAGTTAGAGACGAATGCCAGATGCAGCATAACCGGGAGCGGGTGCGGGAACACAGCCTTCACCAGCTACCTGCTTAACGGAAAAACGAGGCAGTTCAGCGTCTACCAGGAGTGGGGGCGAGAACACTGCCTTCACTGGTTGAGTTAGAGACGAATGCCAGATGCAGCGTAACCGGGAGCGGGTGCGGGAACACAGCCTTCACCGGCTACCTGCTGAACGGGAAGAGTAGAGCGGCGCTGCTACTCGCCGAACAGAAAAAGGGATGTAGCTACATCCGCATTACCACCAGAGGGAGCGGGTGCGAGAGCCTTGCCTTAACCTAGCTGGGTAAAATAAAGAAGCTTAACAGTACACGCAAGACGTTAGCCGAGCGGCTGCTGCTAACGATCAAGCGAGATCAAGTCAAATAACACACATGTTTAAGACCAGATAACTAGCTTCTAAAGAAGAGAACAGCACAGAGCCGTAGTTACAGCAGTAACCCTGGCCAGTGCTCACACGGCATATAACCGTAGTTACAGTAGTAACTATGGCCAGTACTTACACGGCTTAGAACCGTAGTTACAGTCGTAACTATGGCCAGAACTTACACAGCATAGAGCCGTAGTTACAGTAGTAACTCTGGCCAGTACTTTTACGGCTTGGAACCGTAGTTACAGTAGTAATTATGGCCAGAACTTACACAGCATAGAGCCGTAGTTACGGTATTGACTATGGCCAGTACTTGCACGGCTTGGAACCGTAGTTACAGTAGTAACTATGGCCAGTACTTACGGCTTAGAACCTTAGTTACAGTAGTAACTATGGCCAGTACTTACACCGCCTAGAGCCGTAGTTACGGTATTGACTATGGCCAGTACTCACGCGGCTTGGAACCGTAGTTACAGTAGTAACTGTGGCCGGTGCCTAAAAGTGTCAGCCAAACGGCTGCACACTAGATAATATAATATTGGGAGGATGAAATCCTCTTTAATGGCCACACATGCAGAGCACACAGCACACACAGTGAAGATTGTTCTCTGCATATCGTCCTAGTGCTAGGAGTCTAGTACTAGGAGCAGTAAATACAACGATATAGTGCTACTGCAACCATACAATGCGTTTACCGGGAGCGGGAGCAAGAGCGCTGCCCTCACCGGCTGAGTTAAATAATTAAGCTTAACAGTACATGCAAGGTGTTAGCCAAGCGGCTGCTGCTAACAATCAAGCAACCAAGTCAGAACACAATGTTAAGACCAGATAATTAGCTTCTAAGAAAGAGAACAGCCCGCATAGAACCGCAGGCCATGGTTACAGTAGTAACCGCACATGCGGAGCACACAGCACCCGCAGTGAAGATGTTCTCTGCATATCATCCTAGTGCTAGGAGTCTAGTACTAGGAGCAGTACTACAACGATACAGCGCTACTGCAACCAAACCCTCTGTTACCGGTAGTGGGAGCACTGCCCTCACCGGCTGAGTTAAATAATTAAGCTTAACAGCAAGGTGTTAGCCAAGCGGCTGCTGCTAACAATCAAGCGACCAAGTCAGAACACAAATGTTAAGACCAGATCATTAGATTCTATGAAATAGAAAGTGCTTACCTTACTCTCTCATCTAAACGAAAAACGGGTTAAAAATAGGACACTCTGGGCTTTCCATACTAAATTGAATGAGGGACGCAGCCAAAGCTGGGACTCAAATGCTAATGATAGCTCGGGCACAACGCCACAAGCAGAACTTTCAAAAGAGCATAAGGGCAACTTTATGGGAGAGGAAGCGGGAACACTGTCATCACCAGAAAGTCTAAGCGAAACAAAAAATAAGACGGCAATCAGGACAACTTAGCTGGGAGAGGGTGCGGGGACACAGCCATCACCAGCAACAAGCTGACACCAACCTGTCTGTCAAGGCTCTGCACAGCCGGCCACAGCTCCTGGAGGACGAGTTAACGACCCGTAGCTCCGACTGTCAGTCGCGAAGCTGCACGCGGCCAGCTGCTTGCAGAGAAATCCCTCAGATCAAACGTTCAAACCTGAACGCTGTAGGCTACAAAAATGTAGCCACGGTACTCTCGCGCAGCGAGAAGATGAAAGGAACAGATCCTCTGACGACACTGGCTGATATAGCCGGTGTCACGTGGGTCACAGGTGACTTTGTTGTTAATTGGTACTCGAGCTGCGCATGCGCGCGATGGACATATCCAGTGCTTAAAGCACCACCTCTGGCGGTCAGTAGGGACGAAATAGAACTCAATTGTATGTGTCCCGCACCGTCGGCCGTGACACACCTTATTTGGCCTTTCATGGCCGACGCACGGCCACAGGCAGTCGAACAAAGAAATAACTCTGATTGGCTGTTCAGCTAGCGAATCAGTGCATGAGAAGTGAAACGGTTGCTTGAGAATGTCTTCCACAAGCAACAGTCCAATGGCTGATAGCTCCAGTACCGCACGAAACATGTTTTCGATGGACGAGAGTGAAAATGGAACGCACACACACTATTTGTTGTTTGTTTATATGACACAGTCTGTTCTTCTTCTCTGTCTTCTGGTTGTTGCCTCTTTTGAATGACGAATACACACTACCGCCGCCTGCTGGTAAGAAGAGTTATTGCCACTCACGCATGCGCAGTTCGTACGTGCTCGGCTTTAGTCTTTGCGGTGTGTTCCAGTCATAGACTGTATATATAAAGGTTCCAGTGCGACACATGGCCAAGACACAGGAGAACACGGCGACGCAACAGTCGGCGTCGGCGAGCTCTCTGGTGACTGCTGCCGATTTTCGGCATTGATAGATGTCTGGCCGTCGATGAGCGTCCTGTCGCCCTACTCAGATTGGTGTCTGTATACAGTCTATGGTCCCGCCCCGTCGTGTCTTTTCGGCCGTGCCGACACCTTCCGCCTTCGATTCAACATGTTGAATCGGGAGGCTGTCGGCTAAAGGTCGTCGGCCAACGAAATCACTCTGATTGGCTGTTCAGTTTAGCGAATCAGTGCATGAGAAGCGAAACGGAAGTGAGGGACCCAAACAAACTATTAAGAAGGCCAATCTGAGATTTCATTTAACTCCAGCTCTCGACACATGTTTCTCAATCTCGAGTAAAGCTGCTCCAGAGCCACTATTTCAAGCATACTACGTCATCGAGTGCCGCCGAAGGACTGTTCCAATGTCCAGCATACTTGGAATTCTACCGAGCCCGGCGTACTTCGTTTGGAGAAATTTCTAAGCTGCATATGACATGTGTAGACTCCGCGGTCTTAAAACCCCCTCAATGCTTTGCTCACGGACCAATTTCCCCAAATCTGTGGCGGAAAATGTAAGGCGGGGCCTCTCATATGACGAATACGCATGCCAGGAAGTATTCTTGCCTCGCTTCTGAAGCAAGATACTCGGCAGACATGTGCTACCAAGCAAGCGTACTCGAGATTGAGAAACACCCAGGTTCGGGAAAGCCCCATGAGCTTCTCTCGGTTATCACGCAGTCTGTCTTCCAGTTGTTGCCTCTTTTGAATGACGAATACACACTACCGCCGCCTGCTGGTAAGGAGAGTTATTGTCATTCATGCATGCGCAGTTCGTACGTGCTACTTGGCTGAAGTCTTTGCGGTGTGTTCCAGTGCGACTGTTGGCCAAGACGCAGGAGACACAACAGTCGTGTTCCGTCGGGATGTGTTCTTTGGTGTGTAGGCCCCTGAAAGGTTGTTACAATTGAAATTATTTTACAGAGGCTTCAGATTGTTACAGATTACATTTGTTGGCAGCAGCATTATTGGTTTGTTTAATTTATGATTCCCAGCTCCAGTGGTCAGCATGTCCTTGGGCAGGATACTCAGTAACCCCTAATAGCTCCCAATGGCCAGCGGTGTGAGTGTTAGGGTCTCATGATGGCAGCCTCTGCCTCTGTATGAAGGAGTGTGAATGCTGACATTTAAAAGTGTTTTGAGGGGTCATAGCCTTCAGTAGATTATTGTGTTTAACAATAACTTCTGAAAGTGACTTTTAACAAATGTCAGGAATCTTTACACAATGTTAAGTCTATTTATTTTATTGTTTATTTAGGCGATTCTGATTCAATAAGAATCGAAATGCTCTAAATGAGGAACATTGAATTATTCTCAGTGTTCCACTGCTAAGAAACAGAGCCAGAGTAAATGTACTCATACATGGAATCTAGTTAAAACATTCATGAATACAAAAGTGTCTTTCATTATCAATGATGACAGTTGGGAAAACAAAACATATTTTGAAAAAAACATACTAGTATAACTTGAGTTTCATTTGTGGACAGGAGATGTTCAGGGCAAACAGGAGATGTCATTAAGATGTTGAAGACAGACGCTGTACTCCACACCCCCGTCATCAATCTCCCCTCAGAGCCTCACTGAAGGCCGGGGCCGAGCTGTGGGATGAGGCACACAAGAGTGGTCTGGGGAAGGGGGGGTGGAGGAGGTTGTTGCCTGTTTGTGGAGAGAGGTGTGTGTGGTTGCATGCCTCAGGCAGATTGGAAGCGGTGTCAAAAGTCCACAAACCCCAGCATGGTGTGTGTGTGTGTGTGTGTGTGTGGCTCTGGAGGGTTTTCCTCTCTCAAACTGACTGCTGAGAAATTGCGTGGTGCCATTGATCTGAGGACTACATCATCCTTTCCTTGTATGCGTTGTTCTAATAAGTCTTCCTGTGCATTAACACCACTGAGTGTTGAATATTCAGATAAACTGCCATGTTGTGACTCCGTGCTCAGATGTGTGCAGTTGCCCTCAGTCGGAGAGCGAGGGTGAGCGCAGCGACCTGCCGCTGGCCGGGCTGTTGCTGTAGGCGTGGCCCCCGTCCCCCCTCTCCTTCTCCTTGTCCTTGCTCTCATGTTTGTGCTTGTGCTTGTGCTTGTGTTTGTGCTTCTTCTTCTTCTTCTTGTGCTCATGATGGTGGTGGTGATGGTGGTGGCCATGCTCCCCGACGTGTTTGGAGGTTGAAGAGGTGGTCTCCTTGGAGAAGGAGGGCACGGGCGTGGCAGGCATGGAGAGCATGGACTGCTCCACTGACGGAGGCTCTTTACCTAAAAACAGGAGGAAGAAAGGTGTGTCACCAGGTGAGGGCCAATTCATTGTTTTTTTAGAATGTGTGTGTGCGTGTGTGTGTGTGTGTGTGTGTGTGTGTGTGTGTGTGTGTGTGTGCGTGTGTGTGTGTGTGTGTGTGTGTGTGTGTGTGTGTGTGTGCTCACCTGGAGTAGAGGGTCTCTCTAACAGGTTGAGATGATGGTGAATGAAGGCCTGACTATCATGAACCGTCTCCATATCGATATCTTCATCTTCCATTGTGTTGAACTACAACAAGCAGACTAAATGTTAACACCAATAACAGAACATCATCATCATCATTCATGAACTAATGACCTGAGTAAAGCAGAGAAGAAAATACTTGAGAAGAGTTAAGGAAGTATAAAGTCAGGCATCATGGCAGAGCGGTGTTACCCTGATCTTGAAGCGGCCCCCCCTCCCGTCGTCCTCCTGCTGCTGCTGCTGCAGGATCTGTCCCGGCTCTGGAGGCGAGCCCAGTGGGGTCTCAGCCTTCCTCTTCAGGCCCTGGGGGGGCTGGCCCACCCCACACACCCCTAATGAAATCGGGTCAGGTTCTTCATCCACCTGCAGACACAAACAAACTTCAGGTCTCCCTTGAAAAAGAGATCATTGATCTCAATGGGATTTTACCTGGATAAATAAAGGTTTTGAATTGAATTGAACTTCAATAGTGATGCAGGAATAAGTCCTGATACTGAGTCAGCATTTTACCACTTATGGTTCCCTCTTCTTGAAGTCAGTTTTTTTAATTTCTTTTTTTATTGGTGCATTAAATTAAATCTGTGGTTGACACATGCTTACGAGATTTTGAGGTCTTGTTCTACAACGTTAAATGTGTCAGTAAATGCCCCACTGCTAAATGTCTGAAGCTCTTGCGTGTCTTAAAAACAGCGGTTGCTCACAAGTGACTAAATGACACTACTTAATGTTATCAAGCTGAACATTAGCCGCATTTAGCTTAGCGGTGGTGATGCACAGCAAGTTGACCATGATGTAGTTCCTTATATCCTAATGTTAGCAAATAATAGAGCGGAGAACATTATCCTGCTGAATAAAATGTGTATCAAAAATGTGTGTACGCTAAAGATCTTATTTTCTGCAGTATACCAAAATCCAATGGAATAATCCCATTACTTTTTGTCGAAGGAGGCCTTGCGATGCTAACTTCGGGATCGACCGACACAAATGTATCATCATTATATCGCTCTATATTTAGAAATATGGTTTACTTATTGTCCTTTATAGAAATCTAACTTAATAAAGAGATGAATGTACAACAAAAGTCAATCGTTTATATGAAACCACTAAGCAGAATACTGAAATGCTAATGCCTCCATGTCAGACTTGTGCTGATAACTCTCTCGCTGTCAGCGATGTCTTACAAGACGAAGTGCTCTTAACTGTGATTCTGGGTACAATGGTGACGCAATGGGAATGCTGTATAGCCAAATACTGTTGGCAGGACTCTAGTAACCATAATTACATCGATTCAACCTAAGTGAACAGATTTATTGAAGGCTTTGCTGACTATCTTTGTGCCATCTGAAATGTTTTATGCTGCATTAGTAAATCAAAATGGAGGGAGACCACCAGGCAGTTGCTGATTACATCACCATTAGCTGCTGCTGATGTAGTGTGTCTTTGACTAGTGTGTTTGTTGGCTGAAACTACACAATTTAAAGTCAAAATACAAATTCGACCTGTCAAGAAATGTGAAATGTAGTTCAGTCAGTATTTCTTAAAGTGCAGTTTCCATAATACTAAAGTAAATGAGCCCACTTACAGCTATGTAGCTCATGCCAACACCATGGATGCCTATACTGGCCGCGGTGTCCATCACTGGGGCCCCCCCCAACTCAGGCTTGATGGTAGGGTTCAGGACAGCTTTCTTCTCCTTCAGGTTGAGCACGAGGCCCAGCTCCGGCAGGGGCAGGCAGGAGGGGCGGGTCAGACCAAACAGCGTATAGTAGAGGTTCACTGCATCACAGCGCAGCCGCCAGTCATGGGACGTACCTGAGGACAGGGGGGGGGGGGGACAACAACAAAAGGCAAAGCTGGTTAAATCAAATAAAGATAGAAACACCCCGTAAATGCTCTCCGTGTCCCCCTTGTACTAATAATAATAATAATAATAATGATAAATGGGACTTGTATAGCGCTTTTCAGGAAACTCAAAGACGCTTTGACAGAGAAGAGAAAAAAAGAAGAAAAACAAAGAAATACAAAAAAGAGAAAATGGGGGGGGGGGGTGGTCAGTGGTCGAATGCAGTGTTGAACAGGTGGGTTTTGAGTGAGGTTTTGAATGCTGTGAGGGAGGAAGAATCTCTGATGGATTGGGGTAGTGAGTTCCAGAGGGTGGGTGCAGCAACGGAGAAGGCTCTGACCATACTTTACTTTAAAGCTTTACTTTATAAGAGGCTCCATTATGCTTTATGAGGTTGTCCCTTTCCTGTAGTGTGTTCTATAGGTTTCTGTGCATGTAAATGGTCTGCAAAGGCTAAAATCCCTCTGTTCCTCCAGAGGGACTTTCTCCCCCAGACACACCCCCCCCCTGGTGAGAGGGTTAGTACACTTCAACCGCACAGTTCATTCAACACTCCCTAAGAGACAATGAGAACTAAATACAGGATAATTGAGAGCTAAATGCATTACTATGAGTCATTTGAGTAGCGTTGTGTTGAGTTGGGATGATTTAACACTAAATATGGCTGAAGCTGACAATCCTAAAGCCAAGCGCCTACAATGATTGGGGGGGGGGGGGGCACTGTGGCTTTAGAAGAGGGTAAAAGGAGTTTGTGTTCTTACAGGACTGACCTTCAGCTGCTGAAACATCATCCTGTGTGAGTGTGTGTGTGTTTAACATGTGAGGGGCTGTGGGTTTTGGGGGGGCGAGGAATAAAACAACCAACACATTTTCATAACATAGTATTTAAGGTGAGCACACTCTGTGCTGCCAGTGTAAATACATAGTGACCAGTCAGGCTCTCCAACAGACACACACACGGACTGACCGGCAAACAAAAGTTCACTGGAAATAATCAGCATCATATTTTCATTCATCCCTCAAGCTTGTAAGGCAAACAACATGCCGCAATAAGAGCTCAATGGGCTTCAGAAATATGGAATTGTTAACAGATACTTGTATTTGGGTTTTGAAACGGTGGGTATTTGGTTTGGCAGACTGAATCGTTATGGCCTGGCTGGCTAGCTGAAACACATAGGACCCCCTGGAAGAGAAATAATGAAACCTGAGGACACAATAGGAGGCAGAGCCGTGTGCGTACATGGTGGAGGCACCGCAACAAGCAGACCCTAACATTGTTCACTTCATTACTGGAATATACCAGATAATGTAAAAAAGAAAACAGGAAGACAAATATTTCATATGAAATACACACCGTTCCACAGTTGCTAGTGCTGCTGTTCGTCGGGGTGAAAGTGAGTCTATGCATTTACTGCTACACTAACGCATTGTGAGTGCACGGCTCCCATCAACATTTTATCAAATCAAAGCCACATTGAATTTGACGTTATTGCGGTCGGTAAACAACAATTTGGTGCGTTACAGCCACCTTTTGGACTGGAGTGTGGCGCAGTATATTGGCCGATAAACAAAATAATAATAAATAAAAAACAGAAATAATTTCTCGTATTTATAGAGCGGTGCTGGTGCATGAGTCCTAGCACCCTGAAAAGAGTCAGCATTCTACCACATCCGGTACCCTTGTCACAAAGTCAAATGTTCGTGTTTTGGGTTAGGTGCCTGAAACGAGGTTAATACAAGCTGAAGATATTTTTACGTTTTATTCTACGACATTAAATACCAAATGTGACTAACTTACTTCTGGCGATTTAATTGATATGTTAAACTTATTAAGTTGTGTTTATACGTGGAGATTAATACAACTTAAGTATCATAAACGTGTTTGCCAAAGATCTTGTTTTCTGCAATATTCCGAGTTCATTGAAAAATCCCATTGGCTGTGTATAGTCCAGAGGGGGGTCTGCCTTTTCTATGGAGAGTGTGATTTAGTCCTTTGTCCTGTTCTCAGAGAGCTACTACTAACGTCTATTTCACAGTGATAAGGCCAACGGGGCTTTCTAAAAATGTCTAAGAAGCTTTTAGAAAATGTGCTTTAGATGAAGTGCATTACAACTACATCTGGAAGGGATGTTTTTTGATTGATTCAGAAATTATTTATTTTAAGGTCACTTACAAACACACTGCCTTCTCTTTAGGGAGGAATCATTCTAGCTCAAATGCAATTACTGGATATATGTGCCAGAAGAAACCAAAGAAACATATGTGGCTAGATCAAATGTTATACTTCTGTTGCATGGTGCTCTTACAAGAAAAAAGTGAACATACATGAATTCAAATCTCAACAGTGCAGTGGCTCAAATCTGTTGGTCATGCGATGCAGTTCAGATTCAGTTATGATGTGCTCAGTTAAACCATTTCCTCAAACCTAATCACACATGATTGAGTTGACCTCTTTCGTTTCATTAAAAAGTAATGCTTGGGTCAAGTGTCACCGGTAAGATTCAAATGTACCGGACAAATGGGAAATGTTCCGTCAAGATGTATCTCTCTATTATTGAGCTTGAAAACAATTGATAAATTAAGCTATAGGAAAATAAAGACATCATCAAGGCATATAGATATATACTTCATTTCAATTCTTATTGAGAAACTCAAGCCTGCATAACAACAAAGCGCTGCCAGGAGACTAGTGCTGTTTGTGTGCGTGTCTCACCTGAGTTCATAAGTTTCCAGAGCTGGTCGACCAGCGCTTCGTTACACAGAGCCGAGTCTGTGCTCTTGGTGAAAGGTGGATTCTTGCAGAGCATCCCAAGGATCTTATGTCTGATTGGACATAAAAAAAACAGGAAGATGATCATCCACGTTTTCTGTTGGTCTGTAGGCTATACAGTAATTTAGCAGGACCTACAACGTTTCTTTAACAGTAGGGGAGGCTGGTCATGCATGGTCACTTATGCAGTTGGTAGAATAAACTATAGGCAGAGAAATGTAACACACATGTGTCTGCTTCAGAAAGGGGTTGCATATCTTTGTAACGACAGAGGCAGCAGAGCCTTTCCTTTTCCCCTTAATAAAGGATAGGTTTGCATGTTTCCATGCCAATCTTAAAACATTCCTGACATACCCATATGGTCATTGAAAGGGTCTTTGGTTGTAAAGACATTCTTTCCTAAAGCGATTTCAGCCCTGCTCTATGCTCAATGCATTGCAATGTTCTGGCAAAGCTGACATGAAGCTCAGCAGTTTGAGAGAAATCTGCAGGTCATCTTTAAGCTTCATGAGTATGAGGTTCTGTCCGTGTGCTTCCGTTCACGCTGAGCCGCGGCAGAAGGGGCGTAGCGCAAAGTGGAGTCTCCCTCTCTGTGTCCACACTTGATTTGTCTTACTCAGACTGCTAATATCATGTCAACTGATATTTACACTATCATCAGTGTTTGTTGTATTTAATAATGACAAATGAACCAAGAAAAAAACATCGAGGTACGGACACTGTTCTCAAAGTGCAAAGTGTACACATGGTTGTGTGTGTGAATATGTACCTGACGTAATGAGCCGGCTCGTTCTGCACCATGTTGAGCAGCCACTGCAGCTCTGCTGAGCTCCTCTCCACTGCAGGACAGAGAAACAAACAGAGGCTGAACTCACAGACATGTTGCAATGAAAGAACTGTGTCAGATCAAATACAAATGTGACAAAAACCTTCAAACATCAGGTCTTATTATTAGGGCCGGGACTCGATTAAAAAAATTAATCTAATTAATTAGAGGCTTTGTAATTAATTAATCGAAATTAATCGCATTTTTAATCACATATAAATATTTGACCTGAGAACAGTGAGAAGCAATTTTTTTCACATGGATTTTAGTATACCATTAGGCGCATTCACACCGCAGTACTTTTCCCACAAAGGTTCATGAGAATTTAGTTCATGAGAACTCTTTGAACCTGGGGGTGGATTAGGCAAATGAAGCCGCTGACGTCACTTCTTCTTCTTCTTCTGCTTTGGGTTTACTGGCAGGCCGCAAACCACTTCACGGCGTATACTGCCGCCCAAAGTCCCCGGCCGGAAGTCCCCGGAGTTGGGGCCTGTAAATCGCCAGAACGCCGACACCTCCTCATCTCCACCGCTCCCATGTTTTATTTTGTGTTGCCATAAATTAGTCTCTCTGCGTTTCTGCGCTGGGCTAATGCTAATGCTAATAATGCTAATACGAGGATAATAAAATGGCGGCTTCACAAAACTTTTTGGGAGTTTTACGGGGCGTGGTTTGCAATCCGCCCAGCCAATCAGAAATATAGCTCTTTTCTCACAAGAGAGCCGTACGAAAGTCCCTGCTCTCTAGCAGCTCTCTGCTCTCTAGCAGGGACTTTCGTGGGGGTAAAAAGGTTCTCATGAACTAATTTTAGTACCGGCTCTTTTTGGTGTGAACGCGATAAAAGAGGCTAACGTCCACGCTAGCTTCCACGCTAGCTGCTATATGTTTTGCATTGAGGTGATACTTGAGGCTTGATGTGCTGCGGTGATATGCGAATTCCTTTTTGCATAATTTGCACACAACCGTGCTCTGATCGACGCTTCCATCCGTCCGTTTTTTAAAACAACATTTCCCACTGTTGTTCACTGTGGTTTGTTGTTGTCTGAAGTCATGAATGTTAGTTGGTGCTCCAGTATAATCGGTACGCCTGAAACTCATCCAGTGAGAAACGTTCCGCGGTGCAAAAATAAGTGCGATTAAAATGCGTTAATTTTTTTAACGCGTTAATTTTTGTGTAATTAATTAATCTTAATTAACGCGTTAAAGTCCCGGCCCTACTTATTATATATATCACATGATGTTTGGCATATTATTGTACCCTTGATGGCATCTACATTTCAGATTTGTGTCAACACCTTAGAATATGATTACATTTGTCTAAGAATAAAATGTGTCGCAATCCTGTTTTTGGGCTAAAATCTGATTCATCGTGTGATGAATAGAATCTGGATGATTCACAGTCAAATGAGTGAGTAATTGTGTGATACAGATCCTATGAATGAACATGCAGACGGATCTATTCTTGTATATGTGGATCTCAAGTAACCTGACAACTAGATCAACAACAACGCAGAAGAAGTACGTGTCATAATGTCCAACCTCTAGTGTAGTCCACCAGAGCCTCCAGTGCAGCGACGCGAACGTCTACAAAGTGTCCGTACTCTGCGTAGGACTTGAAGAGCGACGCGTCACTGGGAATGTGTCCGTTCTTCTGCAGCTCTCGGATCGCATTCAGACAGCTGGAGAGGAGGGGGGAGAAGAACACGAGGGGTTGTGTGTGAAATGAATGGAAGATATAGAAGATAACTAATAAAAGGAAATGACACAGTTTTTTGTTGCTTTTGGATATATATATATTTTTTTAAAGTACATTACCATTACATTTTTATACTTCATTATTATATGATGGTATTTTTATTATAAAACTATACACCTATCGATTATTGTGACTCCCTGTCTCTTTCCTGCAATCTTAAACTTGGATATGCAATGGGAATCATTTAGAAATGAGTCTAAATGAGTTTTAACTAAAGCCATGATCCCTTCAGGCGCCTGCCTAAATAACACAAGCTGAACTGAACGATTATAAAATATAAATAAGGCCCTAAATATGTGAGATATGTAAATGATTATTTTGAATGCCAAGGTAGTGTTTGTGGAGTGCTGTCAATGTATTGAAGAATGTAATTGTGTTAATCACAATAATCGTTTGTGATGAATGATTATCGTACATATAGCTTGGTCCAGTACCTCCGCTTCCTTTGCCTTTTCATTGCCATGCAATTCATGGTCAAAACAGGCGCTGGTATTTAGGGAGCAACAATGGGTCACTCTTGGTGACTCATTTGCACTTTTTTGACATGCTTTAAGGTTTCCAGATTATTCGCGAATGCTAACACATTTAGCGTTTACATCGACAGCCCTAGTTGATGGAAATTAGCTCAAAGCTAAAAATCCGGCATGTTTACGTTTTAAAGCATTATTTGTTTTAAATGTTCATCAATGTGCATTGTCCCTCTTCAAATAAATGATTAAATACAGACAACAACAAAAAACTACCATATATCAAATCTTAACATAAATGAAAAAAAAGCATTTTCTCTAATTATGGTTGAGATATTGTGTTTTTTGCTCAACAACATGGGTCTACACTCTTGCACACATTACTGCATGCAGCACTGTATTCATGTTCATTTTAGAAACTCTTACATTTTAAGTAAAGGCTAAACTTAAGAAAAAGACTCTCTGACATTGAAAGCCCAAAAGACCTTAACCCACCATAGCACACCTTATTTTGTGGCAGATAATCAGAGTCTTATTAAATTGAAGCAAATATTTAAATAAAATCTAAGAACACTGCGTATGCCAACATGGACTGATATTACTTTACTATGTAGTACCAACATTTTGTATAAGTTTAACAAATGAGATAAATAATCTACCAGGACAAACACATGTTTCATGAGATCATCAGTGGAACATAGAGACCAACACTCCGCTGCTAACCTGACAGTGATGGTGTTCCTGAAGCTCGGCAGCAGCTTCTCCATGTTCAGGAACCGTGTGATCTCCTCCAAGATGAGACGCACGTCAGCATTCAGATTGTCCACGGTGCGCACCTCATTGCTGATGCTGATGGCCGGGGTCAGGGAGTTGGTCAGGGCTTCAATCAGCTCTGCACGGTAGTAGTTATCTGAGAACTGAAGACACGCAAGAAGAGGGGGGTTGTGTATGCTTATCACTGGGGCCAAACATTCAACTTCACTGGCATTGCACAGTACTGGGATGACCACATGCAGTCAGTGTCTAACCAGAAGTGCAAGAGAAGCAGTGGAGTGCAGTGTAATGTATATGTAGAGTTCAACTATATCAAAGAGACAGATATGTAAAGCTTAGGTTTATATAGTATGAACAGTATTAATACGTATAAACACTATGAACATATGAAATATAGACAGTATAATAAATATGTATACACTTTGAACAAATTATTTGAATAAATACACTATCTCAACTGCTCGTTAACACAAATATCTAATCAGCCAATCACATGGCAGCAACCTAATGCATTTAAGCATGAAGACATGGTGAAGACGACCTAGTGAAGTTCAAACAGAGCATCAGAACGGGGAAGAAAGGGGATTTAAGTGACTTTGAACGTGGCATGGTTGTTGGTGCCAGACGGCTGGTCTGAGTATTTCAGAAACTGCTGATCTACTGGGAATTTCACAACCATCTCTAGGGTTTACAGAGAATGGTCCGAAAAAGGGAAAACATCCAGTGAGCGGCAGTTCTCTGGGAGAAAACGCCTAGTTGATGCCAGAGATCAGAGGAGAATGGTCAGATTGGTGCAAGATGATAGAAAAGCAACAGTAACTCAAACTAGAACATTCCGAGAAATGTTGACTGTGTGACTGAAACTTGGGTGCGTGTCCCGATGCTAACATTACCCCCGCTGAGTAAGTATTAATAGCAATAGTTGTATTGTTAAGGTACAACAAAGAATATCCATTCATTGTAGCTCACTTTTAGCTGACTATTTGAACTGTTTATCTATGACATTTTTTGATTCTTGTACCACATTCCTGCATCGTTTCTGAACATGTTTAGATTACAACTGGATTTAGTTAACGACCGACAGGTGTGTTCAAAGATCAAAGCGTTTCCACGGCAACGCCCTGCCAGTGAACGAGAGACAGCCTGTCAGAGAATGTATTGACAATATTGTGCTGCATTATTGATTCTAAGTAAAAAAACTGTAACTCCAATCAGCTAAGTATCCTAGCCAGAGTATTTAGGATACCAGATGAACACACCTGATGACTCTCGTGTTTGCTATGTGTGGAAGTCCGTTTGATTAAATGAGCATATCGGTGCGGCCGTGACAAATTTCCTTACATTATGATCACCAAATTATGTATGAAGAGTAAGAATTGTGGCCAGCCAAGCAATAGTTGGAAAAAAACCACTCCAGATTTTCCAGCTCCTCTCCCATCTAGCCGTGATGTCACCACTAAGTCTTAACCAGCTCTCCCATAGACACCCATTATGAAACGTGAAACATTGTGACATTTTCACAAAACGTAAGCTGCGAGTACGTGAGAACTGTACTAGCTATCCAAAAATATCCAATTAGTGTAATAAAGTCCATAGTCTCGAGAACCGTTTAAACTTGTAATTTTTGTTCTACATTAAAGTATGCGGAATCTGTGTGGGGTCAAAGTGGGGTGTTTTTGAACTCTGTTCAAATGGATTTCCCATTCATTCCTATGGGGCAAATGATCGCAGTGTTCTGCGATTTGCGTGAAAACGGCTAGGCGAATCTCTTATAAAAGACTTAGCAACCCGATCCCTGTCATTCCGCACGTTTTGATGTGTTTTTTGTGTGATTCGTGTCAACGCTGCCGGACGAGTAGTATGACAACATTTGTGGCGGAAGAAGGAGAATTAGATGAGATAAGTATGTTGAATATTATACTGTGTGTGGCTTTGCCAGTCACACAGAATAACCACTAGTTACAACCAAAGTATGCAGAAGACCCTCTCTGAGCGCACAACACGTGGAACCCGAAGCAGAGGGGCTACAGCAGCAGAAGACCACACCAGGTGCTCCTGCTGTCAGATAAGAACAGGATACTGAGGCTACAATTTGCACCGGCACAACAATAAAACTATTGGAAAAATGTTGCCTTGTCTGATGAGACTTGATTTCTGCGGCTACATTCGGACGGTAGGGCCAGAATTTGGCGTAAATAGCAAGCATGGATCCATCCTGACAATCTGCAGCAACTGCGTGATGCTATCATGTCCATATGGACCAAAATCTCTGAGGAATATTTCCAGCACCTTGTTGAGTCTATGCCACAAAGAGTTAAGGAAGCTCTAGCAAGGTGTACCTAATAAAGGCGCTGGTGAGTGCACTCTAGAAGCTCTAACCAGTACGGACAGTTGTACAAATAAAATATGTCACCGTGATGATTTACTGTTGGCATCTGTGAAAATAGAAACTACAAATTAAAGATTAAGTGTGTGACGGGGCATCTATACTTTGTTTTTTCTGTTGTCGTTGTACTTGATCAGGTCCAGGATGAAGTTGAGCACATCTTTGGGACAGAGGTTCTGGACATCTCTGAGTAACGCCATGGCAACAGGCATCGTCTGACATCGGAGAAAAAGACAACAGTACAATCATGATCATGTTTGCAACAAAAAAGATGGAGACATTTTTTATAGCTAAATGTTACTGCTGAAAACCTTTACTGTGCTTGCACATGGCATTGTAAGTGGAGCCTAATACTGGAATTTGTAAAATGTGGTTGTTCTGTAATTGTACCAAAATAGGTTCTGGGTGCACTGAAAAACAAAAAATAAAACGTTGACTTGAAATAAATGTATTTTGTCAACAAAGTTCACATTACTGTATTAGTTTAGTTGAAAGCAATAGTATTAAGTTGGACCTAATATTTTTTTGTTACACCTTTTTTAAGTGTGGGACATAATACTGCTGAAACATCAATGTGTCAGGGCTCTGGTGGATAATACAACAAATAGACACAAAATATATTTAAAAACATTTACGGTATTTCTGCACTGAAATGTATTGTATTGTAAATGTATGTATACTAAAATAAGCTGAAGCTATGCCCGGGATAGCGTCCAGGACTACAGTGTGTTGACACAGTTAATGGACCTATAAGAGTTATGCATTGTATGTATTACCTTTTGCAGGAAGTACGTCTGAAAGCTGATGAAGTGGTTGGTCTTGACGATGTTGGGGCAGCTCTTACAGCAGAACATTCTGGTAAACAGGGACTTCATAGCTGGGGGGCCCTGCCACGTGCTCACCATGGCATTGGCTATCTGCAAGGTTTACATATACACATGAGAACAAGAAAAGACAGCTCTTTTTCAAAGCTTGTGTCTGCTGTCACCACATTAAAATAACTGCCAACTGAAACATACAAGAGTTCTGCAAAGCATGTGGACCGTACAATGTACCCAGATGTATATTCTTATAACTCTCAGGAGCTATGGGCAGACAAATAACTCATTTAAGAATGTTTTACTTTTATAACAATGTCCTTTCTGTCCATTATAATTGCTGTGGTGGGAACAGAACCCCACAGTGAAAGTGTACACAGGAGAGGTTTCCACAGGCATGAAGACCAGCGGCTCCAGTGGTCTTTGGGTTCCAACAGGATATTGGGGAATTTATGTTAATGTTGTAATATAGGACCAAGGGTCACTGACACAGGATGTTGTCATTTGGTAAGGTAAATAAAGGCATGCTCACCGGAATGTTGTTGTATGTGCGTGTGCACGCATTCACGAACACACTTGTGTTTGTGTGAATATTAAACATGTGCATGCATTCTTTCGTTTTATGTCCCCCCAAATGTTCACCCCCAGGCTGTTCCTTTATCCTTCCCACAATTTCTATCAATAACAAGCAAGTATATGCCATCCCACCAATCATAACGCAGCAAAGTCCATCCGAGGTCAGTTATATTTCATGTTTGTGGTCAGTGTGGGTATGTTAGTATGTGAATGTGTGTGTATGAGCTTGTATGTCAGTCAGCGTGTGAAGTATAAACCAAAGGCCATTAGGATGGAGACTGTTGGGGGTTCTGTGGCCAATCACAGCACCTTAATGAAGGTAGTGAAGTTTATCATGTTGCGAAAATATTGGTTCAGGTGGAACCTGAGAGGCGGATATCCAGTGGGGTTAAAGTTGGAAAAGACTAAATCCAGAGAATAGAGAATTTCCTGCAGTCTCAGAACAGGATTATACAGCCAACAGGACAGGGAGGGTTAAACTAGTGGGTGCTGGTCAAATATTGTTATCAAAAGAACAAGTGAGGGAGCGATGAGGTGGATGGATATGGTTAACAGTGTCCCCTTTATTGGAAATGACAAGTGTAAAAAAAAAAAGAGCAAACTATTAGAGCATGCTGGTTTCAGAGTCTTTCTGGGGCTATAAACTGAACTTGTATTCTCCCTTCTGTCCCTCTCACATGCATCCCTCGCCTAACACACATTCATTCACATCCCCACCCTAGGCCTTCTTCACCCTTCTTGTTTCCTCATATTCTTTCAGGGACCCACATTACTACTTATTTCTCCTCATCCCCTCTCACTCCATATTTGCAAAGTTACAGATTCTCTCTTCTGCTCAGTTAGAGCATTTCTATGGAAGCCCAGTATCTCAGTTAAATGACATTGTGACCTATGGGTCACCATGCTTCCAATATAAATCCATTGATCCTGCTGACAGGCGACACCACTGACTAACTTACCTTCTACTCTTACTAAATGTAATCTGTTTCGACTAAACTACAGTGAATGTAAAAGTAAAATGTACCCACAATGGATCTGCCTGAACACTTAACTTTTTGCATCATATGTGAGTAACTCATTTCAGTTACTAAATTAAAACTGATGTGACTGTTACTCATAATAAATGTGTGTATGCATGATACAGTCTGGATCTTAAATTGTATTTATTGTTGAGAGGTCAAGCTTTCATTCAAGACTTTCCTACCTTAGCTAGGCTAGCTTATTCCCAGATGCTATATTTAGTCAAAAACACTGATCAAACTACAATTCACAAAACACACGCACATACTGGCAGACACATACCTTGGCCAAACAGAAGCAGGCCTGCATGCGGACTTTGTAGAAACACTGTTCCTGCTCCAGGATGTCCGTCAGAGCCAGTCTGGAGGCAGGAGTTGGGAACTTCTCCAAAGCTGAGATGGCCTCCTCCTAAGAGAGAGAAAAGGTACATGCTCCGTCAGTGACAGTAGGCTCAACGTGAAAAGCTGCTACCAACATGTTGCTTGGAGTGAGGAGAGATAGAAGTGATGAGAGATAAATGGGACTGATAAGTGATTCAGTTTTTTTTTACCAACTAGGATGTGGTTCCAAATTAGAACCCGCTTTCAGAAGCTATCACTGAAAGCACCCTTTAGGGATGTGGTGTCTTAGCAGAAAAAAAGAAGATCTAACTGCAGAGTGATATGGTGAACCCATAAGAAAACCCACCTGTGCAACTACATCCCTTTCATAGCGCAGCTGATACTGCCACATGAAGTCAGCCTGCTCAAACTCCACCTTCCTCAGGATGGACATGTCCGGGTCGATCCGGATCCAGAGGAGAGGAGAGTCAGCACTGCAGACGTTACAAGAGATAGACACATTGAGGGGAAGTTCAAACAAAAGTAAGGAACGTCAACTCCCACAGGGAGCAAAAATGAGTTGCTCATCACAGATCCATCTTTAACTAAACATTTCATCCTGAAGAGGTTTCCATAGCAGTCATATCAAGAGTCAAGGCTTTTATTGTCATTCGAATATAGCTACAGTATAGTTATGTCGATGAAAATCTTAGGTCCCAGGCTCCTCCAACAGAGCAACACAATACAACAGATTAAATAGTGCAAGTAATACAATAAAATAGAATATAAGTAGTGCCATAAAACTCTATATACAAGTGAAACATCATTTGTAAGTTGCAAACAGGTGAATGTTATGGATGTTCTTAGTTCAGGAGTTTAACAGTCTTATTGCCTGCGGGATGAAACTGTCCCTGAGTCTGGTGGTTTTAGTCCTGATGCTGCGGTATCGCCTGCCAGACGGCAGCAGACAGAACAGTTTGTGGCTGGGGTGATGAGGGTCTTTGGTAGTCCTGAGGGCTTTCTTCCTGAGCCGCTGGAAGTAAAGATCCTCCATGGATGGCAGCTCTGTCCTGGTGATGTGCTGTGCAGTTTTCACCACCCTCTGTAAAGCCTTACGATTGAGGGCGGTGCAGCTGCCGTACCAGGCCGTGATGCAGCCAGTCAGGATGCTCTCTATGGTGCACCTGTAGAAGGTCAGGATGCTCTCTATGGTGCACCTGTAGAAGGTCAGGATGCTCTCTATGGTGCACCTGTAGAAGGTCAGGATGCTCTCTATGGTGCACCTGTAGAAGGTCAGGATGCTCTCTATGGTGCACCTGTAGAAGGTCAGGATCCTCTCTATGGTGCACCTGTAGAAGGTCAGGATGCTCTCTATGGAGCACCTGTAGAAGGTCAGGATGCTCTCTATGGTGCACCTATAGAAGGTCAGGATGCTCTCTATGGTGCACCTGTAGAAGGTCAGGACCCTCTCTATGGTGCACCTGTAGAAGGTCAGGATGCTCTCTATGGTGCACCTGTAGAAGGTCAGGATCCTCTCTATGGTGCACCTGTAGAAGGTCAGGATGCTCTCTATGGTGCACCTGTAGAAGGTCAGGACCCTCTCTATGGTGCACCTGTAGAAGGTCAGGATGCTCTCTATGGTGCACCTGTAGAAGGTCAGGATGCTCTCTATGGAGCACCTGTAGAAGGTCAGGATGCTCTCTATGGTGCACCTGTAGAAGGTCAGGATCCTCTCTATGGTGCACCTGTAGAAGGTCAGGACCCTCTCTATGGTGCACCTGTAGAAGGTCAGGATGCTCTCTATGGTGCACCTGTAGAAGGTCAGGACCCTCTCTATGGTGCACCTGTAGAAGGTCAGGATCCTCTCTATGGTGCACCTATAGAAGGTCAGGATGTTCTCTATGGTGCACCTGTAGAAGGTCAGGACCCTCTCTATGGTGCACCTGTAGAAGGTCAGGATCCTCTCTATGGGGCACCTGTAGAAGGTCAGGATCCTCTCTATGGTGCACCTGTAGAAGGTCAGGATCCTCTCTATGGTGCACCTGTAGAAGGTCAGGATCCTCTCTATGGTGCACCTATAGAAGGTCAGGATGTTCTCTATGGTGCACCTGTAGAAGGTCAGGACCCTCTCTATGGTGCACCTGTAGAAGGTCAGGATCCTCTCTATGGGGCACCTGTAGAAGGTCAGGATCCTCTCTATGGTGCACCTGTAGAAGGTCAGGATCCTCTCTATGGGGCACCTGTAGAAGGTCAGGATCCTCTCTATGGTGCACCTGTAGAAGGTCAGGATGCTCTCTATGGTGCACCTGTAGAAGGTCAGGATGCTCTCTATGGTGCACCTGTAGGAGGTCAGGATACTCTCTATGGTGCACCTGTAGAAGTTGCAGAGTATCCTGGAGTCCATGTTGAACCTCCTCAGCCTGCGGAGGAAGAAGAGCCGCTGTCAAGCTTTTTTGGTGATGGTGGTGGTGTGAAGAGTCCATGTCAGGTTCTCAGTGATGAGTCCATGTCAGGTTCTCAGTGATGAGTCCATGTCAGGTCCTCAGTGATGTGGACACTGAGGAACCTGAAGCTGCTGACTCTCTCCACCGTAGTCCCATTGATGGCGATGGGGGCGTGTCCCTCTCTCTGCTGCTTCCTGTAATCCACAATCAGCTCCTTTGTTTAGCTGACGTTGAGATGGAGGTTGTTATCCTGGCACCAAGATGTCAGGTTTCCGACCTCCTCTCTGTACGCCGTCTCGTCGCCGTCGGTGATCTGGTCGATGATGGTTGTGTCGTCAGCAAACGTCACGATGGTGTTGGAGCTGTGTGTGGCCACGCAGTCGTGTGGGAACAGGGAGTAGAGGAGAGGGCTGAGCACGCAGCCTTGAGGGGCTCCGGTGTTGAGGATCAGGGTGGAGGATGTGATGTTTCCTACCCGCACTGCCTGGGGTCTGCCCGTCAGGAAGTTCAGGATCCAGTCACAGAGGGCGCTGTTGAGCCCGAGGTCTCTGAGCTTGATGGCCAGCTTGGAGGGCTCAATGGTGTTGAAAGCTGAACTGTAGTCAATGATCAGCATTCTCACATATGTGTTCCTCTGGTCCAGGTGTGAGAGGGCAGTGTGGATGGTCTGTGCTATGGCGTCGTCTGTGGAGCTGTTAGCTCTGTAGGCAAACTGCAGGGGGTCCAGAGAGTCAGGGAGGGAGGAGGTGATGAAGGTTTTGACTAACCGCTCAAAGCACTTCATGATGATGGAGGTGAGTGCTACTGGGCGGTAGTCGTTGAGGCTGGTGATTTTAGACTTTTTGGGGACAGGAACGATGGTGGAGTGTTTGAGACATGTGGGGACTACAGACTGCAGCAGGGACCTGTTGAAGATGTCTGTGAACACCTCTGCCAGCTGAACTGCACACACCCTGAGAACACAGCCAGGGATGCCATCAGGTCCAGGAGCCTGTGTGGGTCAACCCTTTTAAAAGGATTTACACACATCTGCCCGGTTTAAAACAAAAGGGCAGGGCTCCTGATCCTTCTGTGCACCCCCAGCCTGGCTGCTCTCGAAGCGAGCAAAAAAACTGTTCAGCTCATCTGGGAGAGATGCGCTTGCAGACACTCTCACAGCACCCCCTGCTGCTCCATCAATGGCTAAGAGGTAGACACACGTTTGTTCCAGCTAGAAGAGTCAAGTATTTTATGAATAATGTTTTCCTTAAATGAAAAAAAAGCTTGCCTTAAACACTAGAAAACACCATTACATTATATATAAATAAAATGATACAATAACTAATACATACAATATAGATAAAAAACAAATGGCTACAGCAGTGATGTCTTACTCCATTGCCGATAAATCCATGTCAACTTCCTCTCCATTCATCAGAGGAATCTTCTTTTTCTTGTTTCTGTGGGAAGAAACAACGGAACAGTCAGTAAACACAGCCACACTCAGAATTTCTTTAATAAATTCTCTTTGTTGATCACATTTCTGTTCCACTAGAAACAGAGACGAGAGGACAAAGTAAAGAAACAAAGATTAAATAGATAACAACAAGATCAACGTATCACCAAGAAACAAAGCAAAATAATGAGTAACAATGAGTATCACACTTATTATATTATAAACATGGTTGTATTAATATTCAAATGATACAAACTCCATTACCGGCTTACAATAATAATAAGTAATATATGATATCTAGTAAATATAAACATTTCTCCATTATTGTGTTGACTTATGAGAGTGTGTGCAGCGTGTGTACCGGCGGCTCTTGGAGTGACAGGGGATGTCGTGTTTCAGGCTGTTCTCCTCGATCTGCAGCGTGTGGTTGAAGGATCCATCCAGCTCCTGCACTGTCACTTTGATAGGGCCCTGCAGGCAAATAAACATAGGATCATTTTATGAAATGGGAATTCTGTAACATTATTAGATTTTTTGTATCCCTTTAAGTCTTGGATTTTGGTTTTAGAATAGGTCTCCCTCGAAGGGAAAGATCTGCTGTGCAAAATGCTAGGACTGTCTTAGAAGGATAGCCATGTTTGTGCCATACTTGGTAACTCGTGTTTTGCACTGTAAAATAATAACTAATCCTTTCATTGACCATCAGCAAATGTTGGCATGCAGACTAGGATTGTGGCCTACAGTACACTTTGATTTTATGAAAAATCTCATTTGAATCTGCTGTAAAAAAGAAAAAACGATTTACTTCAAAAAATGGACACAGACAATTCATTTATTCCAAACACTGTATGTAGACGCTCACCACATATTTCTGGGTTCCAGATGATGTGTAGTCCTGACGGATCTCCAGCTCCAGCACGTTCCTTTTCCTATTAAAAGCAAAACTGCCAAAGAATTTCACCACAGCACTTTGGTCTCTGAGTACCAAAAGTTAAGGTCAATAAGTTATTTTATTTTTTTAATTCAAGATTAAACAATGAACTGGTGACATTTTTAAAACATGACCTTTGTAATTATTTTATACATTTCATATATTTTTGCATTTGTTCTAACGTGAGTCAGTTCTGAGTCAGTGGACTAAGTTTCAAGGCTGCAGAAAAACCTGAAAAGTGCTTTAATTAACTAAAACGATTTAAGGTCTGACATGACCAAACATTGAACCTCTATATTTCCCTTCTGTGTAAGGTCATACCGTGAAGCAGTTCATCAATAATCACTCTGTGTGCTGGCAAACCATCCATTCCAGATTGAAGGATACACCCACTGTTTGATGAGGGGGCCGATGTCTTTGCCTGAGACGTTGGAGATGGACTTGAGGAAGGCGTGAGTGGACAGAAGCATCTGGCTCCACATGTGACTCTGGTACTTCTGGGAGGAGGCGGTACTCGCCAGGCTCAGAAGCTTGTTGAAAACCTTTAGTAAGGGAGCAGAAAACAAAGAATTCAAATGAAGACAAAACCATCTTTTGTTATGAGGTTAATAAATACTGGCTTAGACGTTTAAAGAGGCATAAGACAGGGAAATGCTGGCAGTGTGTCACCTGCAACATGAACTCCATGCTGATCCGGTTCTCTATCAGCCTCATCACCAGGTGGGCCTTACACTGGAACATCTTGTAGTACTCCCAGGACAAAGTGTGGGGGTGCTTGATGGAGAAGTGGAGGTGGGGGGTTGGACTGAAGATAGAAAACAGTTAGGTCAGTGTGTCATGCAATTATGATCCAGGACCAAATGACTGTGATTGGATTGAAGCGTTACTTGTCTTTCTCTTTTCCTCCACTGAAGGTCGGGTGCAGCAGAACCCCCCCCATCTTCAGTTCATACTCCACAATCTTGTCCAACTCCTGAAGAGAAAATAATAACATTCATAAGCATTTATAAATGAATCAAGTTTTTAAATTCAGTAGTATATAAACTCAAATAAGTTGATCATTAGTTAAGTCTATGAGTAAATGGCTGCCTACTGCACGGTTATATTTGTTATAGATAAATCTGTGATCATTTTCCCAGATTGACTTTTACATTTCAGAGAAAAGTGAAAGGCACATACTATGAGCCAAAACAGTTCAAAAAGCTCCTTATTTTTCTCATACTGACTGTGCTGCACACTTTTTTTCACTCTCTGTCGAAAACCAGGGCCCAGTCTGCTCTGATTGGTTAGCTGTTTGGCTCGGTTGTGATTGGTCAACCACTTGGAGATGTTAAGTGGTTCTTATGTGGTACAGCGGTGCTACACCTGTAGCAGTGGTGCTACATGGCACAGCAAAAGTGACATGGTTTGAGTGAGGCAAATGTCTAAACCAACATGGTCACTTCCTTAACCTATCACATTGATTTAGGATACATTCATTACAAAGCATGTCACAACGTCATGAAAAATGATCGGTTTGTGTGAAACTGCAGGTGTTGGGCTGCTATTATCACCAAGTTCCGACAGGATAAAGAGTTGTCTAGAGCAGTGGTTCTCAACTGGTCAGGCCTCGGGACCCACTTTTTCCTTAGTCAATAAATCGCGACCCGACATTTTTAACCACTCAAATCTATTCAACAAAAAATCCTGCAGTAAAATATACTCTTTTCAGCATACATTATTAATTAAAGTGAAGTACAGTGCATAGATCCCTTATATCCCTTAGCAGAACTAAAGTATACTTTAAAAAAGGTTTAATGAGATGATGGAATGAAAGCTGAACTGTATAACATAAAAAGGCACACATGCTGAAAACCCAACCCCAGAAGGGGGGTATGGGGGGATTCCCCCCCGGAGATTTTTAGAAATACTAACATATAAACTACGCTTTCTGGTACACTCTGAGAAGAAAATAATTAGATGTATTACGACATATTAATAATATTTTATGCCATTGTTTGTTTTTCACTTTGTTCTGACAGCTTGCTGCTCCTCACAGAGAGAAGAGCAAAGAGGAGAGAGTCTGTGTGAATTACTTTAAATTGTGGGTAAGGGTAGATAGCTCCCATTGTTCTGTGACCTGTCAATCATCAAACCGGGGGGCATATTTCATTATGTGTTCATTTTGATCTGAAGTTGTACCCATGGGTGTATAAAGAATAGTTCTACCGCAAAGTTATTCTCCGTGGGGACTTCCGGCAACAATCTTGATTCTGATTGGCCAGAAGACTCGAAAAAACATCAGCAAAGATATTTTATTAAGAAGATGATCACTACGTGACAGAATTTTCAAAACCGTTCATGGTCTCCCGTACTTCCAGTCCAACGCCTACTGCATGCACAGCGTTAGAAAATCGGGCCCAAAAAAAAGTTTCACTTTTTTCCCCCAAAAACAAAAAGGAAATTTTCTTCACTCACACATCTGCGACCCACTTGAAACGGGTCCACGACCCACTTTTGGGTCGCGACCCACCAATTGAGAACCATTGGTCTAGAATAACTGTTACCTCTTTGATCCAGTGCCGGTACTCATTCACTCCAAAGGTCTTCTTTAGGTAGAGGCCGTAGATGTAGCCTGAGATCCCCTTCAGCACCCACTCATCAGCCCTTCAGGAGGAACAACATATATAATACACTGCAAGTTCACAAAATACAAATCATCACCAAATATCAATGTCTTCACCTGGGGGGTTAAGTGCCCCGCATGGTTTGAGGTATATGTCCAACGTTCAGGCATTATTCAAGGAATTGTAACCAATGAAATGCAGGTTAACTCCATATTTAAGAAAATGAACTCCAGACCTTCGATCCTTCACACTTTCAAGGAGCCCTTTCTGGGATCCGGATTAAATAGGATATGGAGACTAAACCCTGGAAACTGAGAGCTCACCCTGTTTCCTTCACTGTTTCAAGCTTATTAAAAGTGACTTTTAAAGTAAAAGGCCACACTTGTGTTGCTCTTTACGAAGTTATTGTGTAAGTTACCCTTGTGGTATTCCTAGGAACAAACTTGGCATGGCAGACACAGCTTTTGTACATTTATCAGCCTGGATTTATTAGCTTGTAAAAAAGGAACGCAATACTATGATTCAACCTGGGTGGTTTAACAGCGTCATGCTGAACTGAATCTATCCTGCGGGTAGCAATTAGGATTTCAACTGTGCAATAGCTATGATCAACTTTATGGACACTATGGAATTATTTTCCTAAAATATTTCATCCTAATATTGTCTAGAGAATATCTTTGATTCATTATTAAAAACAAGGTCGAACTCTTAAGCTTTGAGTTTCTTTCCTTTCTTTTTAGAGAAACCCTTCTTAAAAAGTAGTCCCAACTTAATTCTTGTAACACTGAAAAAACAGCACTTTACAACCCTCAGATGCAATTGGTCAATTAAATCTTCAGCAGATTTTCATTATGAAAAACCCTCTATTACACAGAAACACGAGGCGGAGATAAAACACAAATCAATGTATTGTTTCCTAAAGCTCCTCAAACTTCAGTTTTTGATATCAAGGTTTCATAGATTTGTAAAAAGAGCAGTTTTTATTTTTCCGTGTGCCTTTTTCTTTTATGTCTGACAGGCTACTGAGCACGGCTGCTTTCAATTACAGCCCTAGTTAACCCCCACTCTGATTAATTGCTAGCAGGCAGCACCATGTTTTGCTAGAATCAAAGAGCTCTGAGTCTCCTGAGATCTTTTCTGACACAACACCAGCCAGCTCAACAACATAAGCAAACCAAGGACACACATCTGATGTGTGTTTAAAGGTCAGAGAGGGGGGGACAATACGCGTTTCTCTCCACAATACTAGCAGGATTTAAGTCCTATCCATGGGCCTCTTATCTTAACACAAGCCTACTGAGTTTTGGACAAAATTATAAATATGTGTTATTTTCACCTTTTTTAAAATACAGTCTGGGAATTTCATAAATGTATGGAAAGCTGAGACGATTAAATTAGTTCAGCTGTATAAACGTGTGTAAATGTTAGTCAAGCCTATTCATTGTTGTCAGACTATTTTTTGAAACATGACCTCACTTTATAAAAGGAGCTGTTTTGAGCTCTAGGATAATCAGAACCTCATTCAACTTAACAAACACAACTAGAGACTGAGGGCTTTTAGAAGCTTTCCTTATTCAATTGGCATTCATAGGGTTTCTAAGCAATTATTGCAAATGTCCAAAGTTTTTTATACCAAATCTCTGAATGTATTTTTCTCTGTTGTTTTTTGATCAAGTGTTGAGTGATCCAGAATAATCAACACAAACCTTTCTGCCATACTTTATGAAGCATAATAGAGCACGGGTATGGCCATTCACAGTCATGGTGTGATCATAGCGTGGTCATAGTGTTCAAGGATCTTCTACACTGTAAACTTTTAGATTTGAAATGCGTCTTAAAACGCAAAAAAAGTCTATAAAACCTTCCATCTTCAGGGTCTCAACTTTTAGAGGACGTATACCACTGATATTTGGCATGTCCCTTTGACATGCGATCTCCCCCTAAAGATCCCCTGTCCCACTCGCAAAATAAGACAAAAATATGTTTTCTAAGGGTTAATGCTGTGATAGGCTCAAAGTTGTCTTTTTTTATTAATCTTATCTTTAAGTTGGTTTTCTGGTAGATCCAGAAAAATGCCCCCACATAGGGCTGAGGCAATCTCTTGATTGACGCAGCGATTAGCCAGTGAGAAATGGGTCTTCAGTATCTGAGGTCTCAACAGGGAATATCTGCCTGTGTGGCTTAGACTTCCCGTCTCCGAGCTCACGGGCTCACTGTGCAGACTCACCATGACATCCTGGAGATAAAACAGCCAAAGAACTGCTGAGCCAGGGCCTGGGCCAGACAGCGACGTGTCTGCGGGGTCTGGTCTATGATCATAGAGCTGTGGAGCAGGTTGGTGCTGAAAACAAAACCAACAACTCCAGGTGAGACAGAATCAGACACAGTACATGAATATAGTATGACCAAAATACTGTTGTTGTTTATAAAGCACTGAATGGTTTAGGACCAAAATACATTTCTGATCTCCTGCTACATTATGAACCATCCAGAAATCTCAGGTCTTCTTGGACGGGTCTGCTTTCTGAGTCAGAACTAAACAGTGAGAAGCAGCATTCAGTTATTATACCCCAAACATCTGGAACAAACTCTACTACTTTAAATCCAGGCTCAGGGGCCTCATGTATAACGCTGTGCGTAGGATTCACGTGGGCAGGTTGCTTACGTAGTAGAAATCCAAAAAATAGGTACAGAAACTTTCCGATTCGCAAAACATTGCGTACCGGCGAGGAAAGTGCGTATGGCACTTCCTACGCCGGTTTCCCTTTATAAATCACAACCGACTCGAAATGCGGTGCAGCTTTTGCGGGCTTCACGTAACGCCCATATTTGCCTATAAATAGTCAAAGAAACGCCCATTCATTCATTCTGACTGACTTTATGAAGAAGATCGCAGGAAATGACGACAGAACAGCTAAAAAAGACATCTCACACCGTGTCAGAAGTGGGTTATTTTGGGGAGGTGGAGATAAATCATATTGTTTGGTGGATGCAGTTTGAACCAGAGTAGCAGCATGGAGGTCGGATCGTCACCAACATAAATAAATAAGTGGTCCGAAAAAGGTTAATGACAAAAACAATACACATAGCCTTCCTCAGGCAGTGTGTTTGTACCGGGGACAGGAGACCCCCCCTTGATGAGAAACTGTAATAAATGATCGGGGAATCCCTCCGGAGTGGAGTCATGACGACTGGATCTGAATTATGTTTTCGTATTTGGTGGTTTGTGTCCCAGCTGTCGATCAGCTGTTCGCAGCGTCTCCACTGCAGCAACTCTATATCCACCAGTTAAAGGAAATACAACTAATGTGTTGTGTTATATTAGCTGTACAATTGACCACATATGGTGTTCTTAGCTTCCATACCTCCTGTGTTTTATGAGCGACTTATCAAGTCTTAGCAAACGGCATAAAACACGATTAAACATGATAGAATATAAAACCATGCTCGTATACAATCTATAGAAATGCAAAACGGCGTCAGTTTAGACGTAATGCTGTCCTCCTGCTTACCGCATCATTTATGAGAAAACATTTCATAACATTAACACAACATATTCGAGGTGGTTTTAAATAACATATGTATTTATTTCTCCAAGTTATGTTTTTGTGTGCACTGAGGAGTCTCAAACAGGCGTTTGTTTAATCATTTTAAGATTGGCTTTAATCAATGTTTGAAAATGAATTCTTCATAGATGATAAATGAGAGGTAACATTTTGTTTATGGTATTATTTCCACATATTTCTCTCCATTCTTCCTTCTGCCAACGGTGTCGCAGTTTCTCGTCTCTCCCGTGTTTGTGCTTAGTGTGTACGCATGGGTTAGAGTTTGCGTGGAGGACCGCACGTTTCCCCTCAAGTTAGTATTTTATAAATCGCAAACATTGCGTAGAAACTGGCGTACGCCATCTTTTGAGCGTATATCCCTTTATAAATGAGGCCCCAGGACTTTTCTTTTTGCCACTGCTTTTAATGGAACTATTCGTATCTTAGACTGCACTGTAACTTTATTCTGGTATTTGATGAGTCTCATGCCTACCTGAAGATACTCATGGAAGCATAGGAGGACACTTGTACGTAGGCCTCGTCCACAAACACAGTCTTGAAGCAGGCATAAGGGTAGCGGCATGTCAGAATCTCCTCATAGAACTCAAAGATCTCATGCAGGTAAGACATGGAGTGTTTGAGCAGGGGCAGCAGCTGTGGCAGGCAGAAGTGGGTCACCTGGGGGGGGGGGGGGGGGGGGGGGGGGGGGGGAAATGTTCAGAAATTCATTTACAAAACTGTGTTTCTATCATCTGTTATATTCTGTGTTGTTTAATGACAGCTACCCTGACAGGATAACAATAACTATTGTTTTCCTTTACTGCATCACGACCAGTGGTGGGAAGTTGCTAAGTACATTTGTTCAAGTACTGTACTTAAGTACATTTTTAAGATACATGTGTATTTCTTTTTTATGCTACCTTGTGCTTCTACTCCAATACATTTTGAAAGCAAATATTGTACTTTTTACTCCACTACATTTATATCACAACATTAGTTACTTTTGCAGGTTCATATTTCTTTATACAAAAATGTAATTAAACTAAAGTATTATGATGTATTATTATGGACGGAAATACCTGGCAGTCTAAACAAGTAATTAAACTTCTCTCCAGCTTTACAAGCTGCAAAATCAAATGTTAAACTTGTTAATGGATATCTAAATATAATCCCATGATAACAAATATAGTGTTCTAAAATTGGCCACTTGGATAATGAGTCATTTTAGATTTAGTACTTAAGTACATTTAGCTGTCAATACTTTTGTACTTTTACTTAAGTAACTTGAATGCGGGACTTTTAGATGTCCCACTTCAACATGTCGTAGCAGAGTATTTCTACAACGCGGTTTTATTACTTCTACGTATAACATCTGAGTACTTCTTCCACATCTGATCACTACACCTTACACAGGCGGGAAGTCCATTTCCACCACTACACTTTTTTCAACTCATCTTTAATACAGCTACATTGTGTTTAGGGACATCTAGTGGTCATTAAGTAGAACATACAAGGATGGATAACATATTACTGCATTACACAGATACCATGAATATATATAAACATTTAATCCTGCGTCTCTGTGTTAATGTTTAACATGAAATCTTACTCTTTCCTCTTCCTATGTTATAATCATAAAGTGGGCATGTCTGTGGAAGGAAGATATGTGGTTACCCAAAATGTAACCTGACTTTGGAGCCTTACTGAGCCTTCTTCCCGACATGACATGAACCATTAGATTCTTTAGGTTTTTTTCTAGTTCCATATAATACTGGTGTCTTCATTCTAGATGTTAAGAGGTTAAGTAAAAGCAGATGTGTTGTAAGAGAATCACAATTTACCTTACGCAGTTCAAAAATAATTAATGTAGACATCTAAAAAGTGGACCTTTGCCATTACTGGATTCATACAGTGAGGCCATCCAAGGTTGTTTTTGTTAAATTGTATTTTTTATTTCTCTCATGTCTGCTTCCATTTGTGTATAAACTATGTGGATTCAGCTGAAGGAAAGATGTAAACAAAAAAACAGTAGAGAAAAGTGTAGATAGGTTTGTTTAAGTTGCCAAAGCTAAAATAAAAAACAAAACATTGATTTAGGGCTAACTACATGCAGAAACATAATCATTTGTAACTGTTTCATGTCACTGTACACCCACCTCATGCATGTAGGGATCTACAAGGATTTCAAATGGCCCCACAGCTAGGGAGATGTTGGGGGCCGCGGTGGGGATGGGGAGGATGTAGTGGTAGGTCTTCTTCCTCATGTCATTAGTGTAGATGGTCTCCACCAGATCTCCACAGGACACCGCCACCATGGAAGCATCCACGGTGAACTCCAGCTTCCATGTGCACAGCTCTGAGTAGGAGTCTACACAGGGGAACCAGAATCTGGGGGGGACAATATAATGAGTTATGCAAAGACCATTGGTATCATGGAGCTAGTGTGGGTCTGCATTACAGCACATGAAATGCATGAGTGAGACAAATAGTACAGGTTTAATGGTTGTTACAAAACAGGCTACATGTAGGAGGCTTAATGACTGTGTACTTAAGATGGATAACGGTGTGAGAATTAAAAAAACATTGCACTATAAAGAAGTAGCATGGCAATATCTCATCATTAAAGCACTGCAGTCAAGATGGACATTCGTTTTTGGAGGATTCATCACATTTTGGACTTCAAGACTACTTTCGTCACACATTTTTGTTTACTTTTCCCTTGTAACCTCTGCTGTGCTTTGTGCCTGGATTTGTTTTCTTTTTGTTACACTGTGACAGTGACCACAGCTTGAGAATCTATTGTATCGATTCATTCATTACATGTTCATATCACTTTGGGAAAAGCAGCAGTCAATCTAATCTGAACGGAATAACAAAGCAGCTTGAGACAACGGCTGAAAACATCTGACCTTCTCCCCTCATTACACCAAGACACATGACAGACATCTGGACAGTCTCTTCCTGTGGGCCATAGCTAAGATCCAGGACACATTTTCAGCATGTAGTGGCTGAATTATGGACAGCTAGGATGTTTAATGTCATCAAAAACTAATCTTGTCACTTGTAGCTTTAATGGCACTGCATTTAAGTGGATGGACAAATGCATGTGGCAGCACAAAACATGGTTTATCTCCAGGTTTAATGTTGCTTTTTGACTGAACTAGGGCTGGGCAATATCTATATTATATCTATATCTGGATATAAAACTAGATATCGTCTTAGATAAAGTAATATCGCATAAGTGTCTTTTCTTGTTTTAAGGCTGCCTTAAAGTAAAGTGAAGTCATTTTCTGAATTTGAAAGACTTAGCTTAGTCATTAAAACCACACTATTTATGATTATTTATGGAAACTCTCAGTGAAAATATTTTGTGAAAGCATCAAAGATCGACCCTACAATGTTGTCACTATTTTGGTATCCAAGTATTTGGTCATAAATGTTGTGTTCTTTAATCTATTCCATATGGCCCAGCACTACAATAATGTTGATAATTGAATCATTATTTGTCCTTTATGAAGTCAAAAAAGGTCAAAACGGTCAATAAGTGAAGTCAATTTCTGAATTGACCACACGGTTCTAGGTTTTCTATCGTGTGTATTTACCCACGTAGCCTTTATATCAACATAATTAATGATGACATCATCTATTTATTTATAATTACAAAGTCAACCATACAATATGGAGACATTTGATTGTCTCCATATAGCCCAGTCCTGCAGTGTAAATAATGGTTGGCCTTGTTTGCAGACCTCGTGGAGTTCTGGTATCCGAAGGAGAAAACGTGAGCCCCTCTCTCCGCCATGCTGCCTTCCACATCTGGAACGACGAAGTGAAGACCTCCTTTTGGCTGGTCCAGGGAAAACTCTATGTACACCTTTAAAACTTTCAACTCTGGAGGAACATGAAACAAAAACTGTCAGTCCTGCACAACCTCCCAAATGTTGCACATTGTAGCGAAGCTACCTCTTATATCTGCACGGCTTTCCAATTGTCATACCAATACTGCACATATTTTACTTTAATTTATTCTATTTCACTTTTAATGGCTGTATCTATATTTAATGTAAATATTGCTATATTTTAATGTTATAATAGTTTTCTTTAAATAGTTTTTTATAATGGTTTTATTTTGTTGGTCCTCTCTTACTATTTATATTCTTTAACTGTGTTTAGATACGCACCATACTTACCAAGGCAAATTCCTCGTATGTGTAACCTACTTGGGAGTAAACCTGTTCTGATTTTGATTCTGTAGTATCAGGCATTCATTCATAATAACATTGCTGTCAATTATCGGTGTGGACGGCCAGCAACAACATTTGTTGTATTCCAGGGAAACGTGTTAATATGTCATAATAATCATGTCAGGCAAGAAATCAATCTGAAAAGATGATGGAATTGAAAAGGACCTAAGATTATGATAGTCTTTGATTTTCAAGGGAAACATGATCCAAACACCTATTTCTTGATTTGCAGTGGCCTTTGTGCCATGGTCTTACCGTCCCCTTGTTTCCAGAGCTCAGAGGGAACTTTGATGACGAGCTCGCCATGTCCTGCATCAGGATCCACAGCACTCACTGCTGCAGTGTAGGCACTGGAGAAGTAGTTGAGGTTCCTCCTAACAGACACACAAAACATTTACACAAAACAGGTTCTTTTAAAGTAGGCGGACAATGGTATTTATAGTAACATGACCAGACCTGGTGAAATGTGACGGTTACAGGAGTCAAAATTCGAAAAATAAAAAATGTTCTCTTAAATACTTTCTAAATAATAGATGTGAGTTTCTTCTCCATGCCTCACCATCACAACAACTTTTCTCAAAGCTATTCTGGTGACAGGATATCTGAAATACTCATTTAGTAAGATGTCAAAACGTATTGCCAGCAATTTAACAAATGAACCTTCCGACACAACTTTCAGTTGGAACATTTTCAGGCAATTCAATTCCAGACATTGTTTACAGATGGAGACCCAGATAGCTATCCAATTTTCTTTGTAAATTAAATATTCAAAATATTAAGATAATTTCTATTTCTAGAAATCCTAGAGGTGTCTTTTACAATGCGATCAATAAGAAGGATTTTGAAATGTCATAACAAATTGTGTGCGGTAGGTAGTTATTAGTTAATACAACAGTCTTGTAAAATAAAAAAAGAGAATACAATGAATATGTATGTTGTCATGGCTGTTACAGGTACATTGATGCATCAACTGTTGCACTGTCAAACAGTAAAAAGGTTTTCTTTATAGATTTCTTAAATATGCCAATATGCCACATAGTGTGTTTACTGGACAGTAAAGTGAAGATAATAAATGTTTAATTGATGCAACGTTTAAAAAGAAGTCACTCTCAGTCATTATATAGTGAGGAAACCGTTTGAGTATGGAAGACTGGATTAAGAGCAAGGAGCCACAACTCTTTCAGAAATAAGTTAGACTAGTTGATTACAGAAGGTCATTCATGAACACCGTTAACAATCTATCTGAACGACCTTGATTAGTCAAAGATGAGCAAAGAAAAACTGTTTGTGAAATATATGGTGCTTTTTCCCCTCCTTGCGTCCAGGTTGCTCTCTTGCATGTGTTTTCTATCTTTGCTGAAACATACTGATGTTTGGTTTGACTGTCTGTCAGTGATAAAGGTTAAACTGATGATGCTCTGCACTCTCTGCCCTGGGGTATTTTCTGGACAGTGTGGCTGCTTCCTGACCCTTTTTGGGGTTTTCAGGTTAATGCTCCTGACAATTGGTCTTTGTCTTATTAAATTACACTAACCTTGTTTCAAGGATTAAGGCATAAAACATTCAGTGTTCAGTATAGAATCTGTACTCCACTGAAAAGTGGAAAGCCATACTCACTGCTTGGACTCATGGTGGCACACCTCCAGTGTAGGGTCATTGTAAATGAATGGTGCTTCCAGTTCATTGACTCGGACCCTGTAGATGCGGCACTGTTTGCTGTTAAGCTTGATCCGGTTCAGGTTGACCACCGTGGGGAAAATGGTCAGCTCAACAAAGCCCTGAGGGATGCAAACAGAAGAAGAAGTTGGTAACGACGGACATCAGTGGTCAACAGTTACTGAGGTAAAGTTCACTGTCTGAATCATATAACCTGCATTGGACCTAGAAATGTTCCAAACACAATTCTCTATGCTGGTTTATCACAGCAGCAAGTCTTTGAGTGCATTGGGATTTATGTTTCACATAGATAGAAACCTTTGTTGTCATTATATAGAAAATACATTGAAATTGAAGTTACGTACCAGTGGTGCTTAAAACACACCCACATACACAACTATTTGCAAACAATAAAAAAAAGACAAGAATAAGAGGACAGTAAAGTGTAATTTCTGTAACACAGAAACATGCTTTAGTCCGTCACATAGACCTACATAATATCTAGCAAATACCAATAAAACCATTTGACTAATTCCCCAAAGTGTTTCAGTCTACGGTTTTAAAGGCAGTATGCAGTTGTATTTTAAATGCAGTTCGTCATTATTCCTGTTTAAATGGGTGCAATGTGAATAGGTGTATAAGTGGACAAGAAAGCAGTTATATCTATAGTCTGTTCGATATATATCATAACAAGGGGGTCAGTAACTGGATGGAATCAAGTGGGTGTAATAACAGCCAGCTGCAGAGGTGGAAGAATCAGATCTTGTACTTGAGTAAAAGTAGAAGTACCAGAGTGTAGGAATACTGTTATAAGTAAAAGTCCAGCATTCAAAATGTTCCTCAAGTGAAAGTAGAAAAGTATTCTCATCAAAATATAGTGAAAGTAGTCGTTGTGCAGATTGGTCCATTTCAGAATAATATCTATATGTTTTATAATGATTGATCATGAAAGTGTTCTCAAAGCTGGTAAAGGTGCAGCTAGTTTGAATGACTTTGTATGCTGCAGGGTAGCTGGTGGATTTACTCCAGGTGGAACTAAAGTCTGATTCAACACTTGATTATATTTCACATCATTCATCCAGATCTGTGAAGTAACTAAAGGTATGAAATACATGTAGGGGAGTAAAAGTACACCATTTACCTCTGAGTTATATTGAAGTAAAGTACAAGTACCTCGAAATTGTACTTTGGTAAAGTACTTGAGTAAATGTGCTTAGTTACTTTACACCACTGGCCAGCTGTTTTCTGTCCAACAACAGCAGAATGACCTATGACAATAACGTTAGACTGTAACTTGTGTACTCACAATGACAGACTTTCTCTGGAAGTTGATGTTGTTGATGCACACCACCTGGTGGGTCGTAAAAACAATAACAGAAAAACAATGTCAGTATTCGATGTGAACTAAACTAGATACTCATTCAGTCAGCGGATAACGGTCTTTGTACTTTAAGAAACTCTGCTGCCTGTGAGTTACTCACGCAAAACGTTAAGCTACCGTTACCTTTGCTTCAGTATGGAACATTACTGCAAATAATGTAATGCCTACAAGTATGGTATTAAATGAAAATACTTATAATTTAAAGGGGCGCGGGCTCTCAAAGCCCTTGTCCTTCTTCTTGTTCATCCTCTTGTCTCTGTTCTGTTGACTAAAGTTTCAACATGCCGGAACTCTGCTCCTTGTATTGGTGCTTCGTCTCACCAGCCGTGAGGGGCTACTTCCACATGCATGCAGACTGCCGAGAGTAGAACAAACAGGCTCTGAGTCAGAGGCAAGCAGTACTGTCACTGACTCTGTAATGAATGCTTTATATTCAGGTTGTGTTGCCCGGAGACTGCTGTAGTGTTTTTATTGCAACCTCAGTGGACGTATTCATTAATAAAAGTCGGCCATGACTACCAATCGTATTAAATAGAGAGAATAGATCCATATAATGTTGCCTGCGGTAGTCGTGGATCAAAACATCGATATATCCTCATTATCCGGCTGCTGATAGAATTGAGATCGCGGCTGCAGTGTGTGCAGCCATTTTGTTACTAACCTTTGAACTCCCGCGTAAAAATGACAACAAATGCTTTTTTTTTCAATATGTTTTTGTATATAACTATCACTTGGTAAGCATACAAACTGTAATCGATGTATAATTATTTCTAAAACAAATACACATTAATCTTATTTATTTAAAAACTCATCCTACGTCACTTCCCACTTCCGGCTTTTCTAGAAATGCACGAGCTTTGCAAGAGCGCGCATAACCCATGTAAAGAATGGGAACGGATATTCGCGGGGGAAAAGTGTAATGTAAAGTACGCTAAAGCCTTCTAAGTTCTACCAAGTGTGTCTGTAGGCTACTAAGAACAACTAAAACATTTACCATCACTTATTTAAAGCATCTTTGACAGCCTATATTCATAAACGTTTCTCTAACACTGATATTGTTTTATTTATTACATTCACATATAACAATCTCAATTGTTCCTACAAGCTTTATTCTTTTTTAAATAGCAACGGGAATTTTCACCTCTTTAAAATATTTTTAAATCTACATAATGTATAGCTTTTCTAAGTGTTTTTGACAATAATACCTTTTAGTGATTTGGAAATGCCATTAAAAAAAAAAATTCTTTAAGGTTCAATGTCCATGCATTTACCAGACCAAACATATGGTGGACAGCAACTCTACTGCTGGATGCATACAATCTAAATTAACAATAATTAGTTAAACGAGCCCCAATTCAGAAGAACACGTTGTATTAAGAGACAGGAAGTGCCAGGGCTTCTCCGTTGAGTTAATGGTTAATAAAGGGAAGGTGGGTCCCCAATAAAATGTGTATTTTTGACAAATTATATTGTTAAATTCACTTGGCTTAGTAGCGGCTAGCGGGTCTTAATTCACAGTTTTTCTGGACCCATAAAATCGTGGTTCTAGGGCCAGGAACAACCAGGCTGAGTCGGGCTGAGTATGCTAAACTAGAGAGAGAATCGCTGGCAAGGGGGCTACAACTACAACAAGATGAACATATTTGACCGTGATTTAATTGTAATACACGTTTCAAAATGATGTCGAAGTAACAACATACTGATACCGGTAAGTAAAAACCATGAATTAATGCTTTGACAAGTCTGCAGACAGACCGGCAGGCGAAAAACCCTTTTAAAATGCGTGTTTTCTAAATGAAGCTTGGCTAAGCTAACGTTATATATGCTCCGACCGTCCACACTCGCAACAACGGCCTATACAGACATAAATAAACCAGCGACTGTATTCGCCATGACACAGACAGTCTGTGGTTTGTACTTGTTTAACTTTTGTCTAGTTTCTGAACAGATATGAGGAGCTGTGAGCTCTGAGTGATAAGAGCTAACGGCTGTGTTGTTTTTTCTGGGGCGCTCATTGAAGATGACGTCACGGCTCCGTCTACACTGTGTTACTATAGTAACTACCCCAGTTCCTAAACTGTAATGGAAGCGCAGCATTAAAGTGAGCCGGGCCTAATAAGGCCTAACCAAACCGAGCGAGGCCTGCAGTGGAAACGCGCCATTACTTAGTTCAAACATTAAACTTGACCTACACAGCTCTGGACTTTTTTAAAGCCTTGCCCCTTCCATGAAAGTAAATCTTCCTAAATGGCAACTGAGAGAACAAGAGTGTTTAACTGTTGGGTTATAAACAGGGGTGCACATAACTTTTTGCCCTGGTTCTCAAAGGAGCACCTGGAGATGTTGCTTGGTGCTCATCCTTAAAATGAAATAAACCGTAACTTTTTTATTTGCCAGACACACGGCACTGAACACACACACTGAGGTGAACACAGAACACACATGCAGAGGTGAACACAGAACACACATGCAGAGGTGAACACAAGACAACATTAGCACGACCAGTAATCCTACAAGCTGTCATCACTACCCTCCTGACTGTTCTCCTCACTGTCTTCCTCTCTGTCAGACATGGTAGCTGATGATGTAGGCCTACTTCTTTCTCTCTGGTTGAGTCTGCGATTAGATGCTTGCATCCACAAGTCAACAGCTGGGTTTGGGTCGAAAGTCTCTGTTGTCATCTTAGACAAGTGGATGTAATCAAATAAATATGTGAACATAACCAATAACCTACCATAGCCAATAACAAATGAATGTAACTTATTTTATTTGTGTTGTTCATTCATATCTTATTTTACCTTAACATTTATTTATGCATTTTTTTTTATCTCTCCAGTTTTAAAGGATATTTTTGGTTACTGTCCTATAGTATACATTGGAATGATTTCAAACCTGTTTATCCCAATAATTATAAAGGAGTGCCTTGGAAATATGTGTTTACATAAATTGTGACCAAACCGTTTGAACTTAGACTAAGACTCATTTACCTTACTGAGCTGTAGTATCAGCCTCTCAGTCTGACTGGAGAGGACTCTCCCTCCACATTATTGTAGAAACATCTTCTTCTAATATCCGTTAGAGCAGCTAGCACGGCACCAGATTCTAATAACAACAGCGCCGGTACCGGTGCACCCTCCCTCTCTCCCTCGCTCACTCGCATTTTGGCTGCGGGCGCCAGATAAGCCAACATCCCCCATTTTCATCACTTACAGCGCCCATTGTACAGGGCAAATGAAACGTGTAACCGGGGTGAAAAGGCTGTTACATTGACTTAATTATGAATATTGTTACATCAAGGCCTAAAATTAGGATGAGCCCCAACGGTCAAAATGTTTTTCCCTCCCAGAACTGCCAGCGCAGCACCTCCCCAGATCTGGCGCCCTAGGCGAACATCCTGTCTGTCTGTCTGTCTGTCTGTCTCTCTCTGTGTGTGTGTATGTACGTACGTACGCAAATGCGCTTTGTTTCAAATTACCCGGTGCTCTTTTTTTGGCGGAGGTGCGCACCTGCGCACCAGTTATGTGCAGCCCTGGTTATAAAGGACCGGTGTCTGCTGTTGAAATCAAAAGTGAAATGCCAGTCGACTTTACGTGCTCCCATGTTGTGCTGGCCTAACCCTAACCCTCTACCGAAGTCTGGTTACGCAAACATTAGATGCTGAAAGTTATGTGCCAAACGCTGGGTTACGTATTGTAACCCTTGTTATATTAATACAGGCGGAGCCCTCTACTGGACTCTATGGGGTACTACCCTCTATGCAAGTATTCACCTACTGAGATTTCTATAGACGTAGCCGGCCCTGGGGCGGGCCTACCTGAATGCGCGCGCATCTCACCGTATAAAAGGAGGCCTCGCCTCCTGACTATCATCCTACACCTCTCTTCAGCGAGCGATATAGGACAGACAGTGCCCTGAGTAGAGGGCTCCGCCTGTGTTAATATAACAAGGGTTACAATACATAACCCAGCATTATATCTCTCACAGGTTCCGCCCTCTACTGGACTCTATGGGTAGTATGTATGCTAGCGCACGCACCGGGCAGAGGAGGTGCAGTTTAGCTTCCCTGGTCCCACAATGTGGGGGAAGACTAAAACCCCCTAACTGAATAGCCCTCAACCTGAACACACTCCTTAGGCTCTTGGGCACAAAGGAGGGGTTCGGTCTGAGTGTCGCGCCGCTCCGGTCACCCCGAATCAGTAAACAGCTCGGGTGCACCGACAGAGCGGTTAACTCGGACACTCTTTTGGCTGACGTTAAGGCAAGAAGCAAAGCTGTCTTCCACGACAGTGCTTTTACAGAGGAGAGCTCCAGAGGCTCAAATGGTTCTGAGACCAGAGCCTCGAGAACTAGGGGCAGGTCCCACTGCGGGGTGGAGGCGTGCACTACTGGGCGCAGCCTCCTGACCCCCTGTAAAAACCGCGACATCAGTGGTTGACTAAAGGCTGACCTTCCGCCAAATCCCACATGGCAGGACGAGATGGCTGCTGCATACACATTCACTGTGGAATGAGCAAGCCCTCTGTCCACCAGTAACTGTAAGAAGGATAAAATAGAGCCTAACGCACAAGATAGGGGCTCTATTCTCCTCTCTTCACACCATCGCTGGAATCCTAGCTACTTTGGCCTGTAATAGGCTGTGGTGGATCCAGATAATGTATCAGAATACAAAAAAGGGTAACTGTATTCCCTTATAGTTACTTAAACAAAAGAAGTATATCTGATAACTTTTACACTGATAACAATGGGTTACGTATTGAAACCCTAGTTATATAAGCACAGGCGGAGCCCTCTACTGGACTCTATGGGTACTGCCCTTGACCTTACTATGCAAGCGTTCACCTACTGAGATATTTATAAACGGGGGCGGGCCTACCTGAGTGCGCGCGCAGGCCCACAGTATATAAGGCGGCCTCGCCTCCCGACCGTCATCCTACACCCTCTTCAGCGAGTAGCTCTGTACTAGGGGGGACAAACAGGGCCCCCTAGTAGAGGGCTCTGCCTCTGCTTATATAACTAGGGTTACAATACGTAACCCATCGTTATATCTCACAGGCTCCGCCTCGACTGGACTATATGGGTACAGTGGGTGGAGCCCTGATGGACACGCTCTGTCGTCCAACAACCCATCACACTGCCCCTGACCGGCTTTCTAGTTAGCAGCCACTGCACCGCAACCTTTCCTCCCTCGGTTGTGACCGCGGAGGAGCCGGGGCCGCAGTTTACATGGCTGATAGAGCACACCCAGACTCGCTTACCTCGCAAAGGGTGTGCATGGAAAAAACAGTGAGGAAGGCTCCCCCTGCCTGCCTAAGGGGTTAAGGGGGTGGGGGTCAGACATCTACTGACTCAGCCTGTCCCTCTCAGGAGCCAAGCCTGGAGAGGTTGGCCCAGAGCGGGTAACGCCCCTATTGCACCAGCCCCCTGAGACATCGCCCACCATCATCTGTGTCACCTCCGCGAACCATGGCACCACGCGGCGGTCTGGGGCCACTAGGATGACTGACAGATCTTCTTGTCTCACCCTCTCCAGGAGGGGGAGAATGAGGCGCAGCGGTGGAAAGGTGTAGAGCAGCTTTCTTGGCCATGGCTCGTGTGCAAACGCGTCCACCCCCAAGGGCGGATTGTCCCGCAGAGCCATGGAAAACCACA